GACTACAGCTGTCTGTGCGTGGGTGTTTGCTGTCTCTATGGATGGCTGATGCTGCTTGTGAGTTTTGATGTTTGCAAAAACAGTATGATTTGTATGTCTTCTATTCAATAAAATTTGCCTTTGTTAATGTCGGGTGTAAATGTTCCTACACAATTATTCTCTCTGTACTGATTTTCTCTGTGATGGCAATATTTCTACTCTTGTGGGCCTCGCCAGTTTTAATGTGAGATGTGGACGTTTTTCAGTAAATAGTTCATGGAACATTTGTTCCGCAAACAATATTTGGCGAACTCATGTAACAGTAAGTCTGGGTAAAAATAGTTTAAAAACAAAACATAGAATTTAAACGGCAATTTAATGCGTGCATTAGCAAAAGAAATTACACGTGTACACAACTGAAAGTAAAGAAAAAGATATTAAAAAAACTATGCTATTAAGACTATGTTTGTTTGTGTGTGTGATACAGGTGTATGCGCGTGTGTGAGAGAGTTCAGTCGCCAGTCTACCGAAAACGAACGCGTCCCAGTGGCGATGTTCTTTATCTACGTTCTACTACATTTGAAAGCAAGAGGAAGAAAGAGAAAAGAAATGTTCGTCTTTTTATAGATTTAAGCAGCGCTGACTAACGGGCGTTTTTCGTGAAGTATGGTAACTTACACTACATTAACACAATAATTAATGACTTTCTGATTACCTTAAATCACCAAATAATATGGCTTATTCCATTTTCTGAATTTTTTTAATGTTTTCACAGACGACCACGACACTCTACTTTTTTTTCTTTTTACGTGAATTGCGAGGAATTCCTGAAAAATACACTCGTGTGTTTTCTCATTAGCGTTTTGACTTTTGATTTTTGAATTATTCAGAGTAGTCCTTCTCCAAGACTCTGCTACCCAAGGCTTCAGAACCTATTTTGCTTCCCCACACAAGGGAATTAGTTTGAAGTGAGCACGACAGACAAATTCGAACTCAAATTCACCGACTCCAATTTCGGTCCCCCCCCTCCACACACAGCATATACTAATTTTTCTCTTTTAACCTTTTTTAATATCTATTGTTTCATTAGTGGAACATATTTTATAACACATTTTTAATACCGAATGAGCAATAACTTTGATAATTTTATCGTTAGTATGCACGGGGAAAACTAATATACAATATCGTGTTAAAATATAACAACTCAGAATTTATGCTGATGATACAACTATTTACTCCTGTCTTAGAAGTAAAGTAAAACTGGCAACTGCTCTTGAAAAAGACCTCCAACCAGTGCTTAACTGAGACAAGGAATGGCTTGTAAATCTTAACGCCTCCAAACAAGACTGTTTTCATTTAATCACCAGAGAATTTTTTCTGGTTTTCATCAAGCTGGCTGATGCTAGCCTCCAGGAAAGTAACTTTTTGCGTCTTCTTGGGCTCATATTTTTCACTGATATGAAGTGAAGCGATTATAATATTGAATCAATTGCTAGGAATGTTGGTTCACTATGTCAGACCAGATAATTTTTCTCGCCAGAATCCATCTTGCACATTTATATAAATCTACAATTCGTCTGTGCATTGAATATTGCTGCCATATCTGGTCTGGAACTCCTATATATTTCAAGGTTATTGACAAAATTCAAAGAAGTCACAATCCTGACATCTCGATTTCAGCCACTCTTTCATTATCGTGACGTGGTTTATACAAATATTTTCATGGCAATTGTTCTTATTCGCTTTTCTCCTTTGTGCTTCGATTGCATGAAATTAAGCATAATACTAGATTGGCAAGTAGATCTCACCGTTTTACTCTTTAATTAGCTAGATGAAACCATATATCCTATTCTAATAGTATTTTCTCGCCTGTGAAACTGCCTTCCGATTTCTTGCCTCTCTATCAACTACAAACTTCAAAAATCAAATGCAACGCCAATTGCCATCTTATGCCTTCCTGAACTATTCTTTTATTGTCCGTTATTCTCACTAAAAGGATTTTTTTTTCGGAAAAGTAGTGGGAGAAGAGAGATCACCTCTCTTATCCCGAATATTGAATAAGTCGCATACATAGACTCGAAACTCTGATGTGAAATTTGAAAGGGGTAAATATTTATTACATTGACACAAAAAAAAAAAAAAAAAAAAAAAAAAAATACAATTTTTACAACAAAGCTTGCACAAAATCTCCTTTTGTGCACCTTATTAGCAAGGCTTGATAACCAGTTCAAAATACTGAATTATAGGATCATAAAAAAAATATACAATTCATACTTCGAAAAAGAGAATAAAAAATAAAAAAGTGAGAAGATACAAATCTTTAAGAAAAGATTAAAAATGCTCTTTAAAAAAGTTCAAAACATTTTTAAAATAAGAAACTTCATTGGAAGAAGGCTTTGGCAGAATTCACCAGCATTATTGGGACTATTAATTAACAACATTTTTCTTTTTCTAAAACACAATTCGATTCAGTTCACTTTTTTTTTTCCCCCGTCAGCCCAGTTCATACACTGCTGAAAGCCAAAATAGTCTTTCCTTCTGGTCGAAATTTTTAGGTCTTCAGTATCTTCTGAAATTGTTATTTTCCCGTTCCTTTAAAATTTTTTACACTTTGTCTCGCCGAAATTTTTACATCTGAAATTTTCTAATACCTCTTAGCTTGTTTATATTTAAGCGTATTGTGGCAGAACAAAGAAACAATGAATGCTTAAAGAAATAAGCAATTGTGCTGGGGATGTGCAGAATAAACTAAGGAATTTGCTGCAGCATTGAGTTAAATCAGAAAGAATTTTTATGTTAGGTTGCGTGAACTTTTCTGCATCCACAAACAAATAAATAATTTCAATATAAACAAGACATAACATACATGCAATTCAAAATTGATAAATGCATTTATATACAAATAAGATATGTACAGAATATATTTGAAGATGTTATTGTGTTGGTGTGCTCGTGATATTTGTATATCCTCTTTTATGTCTTGTGTATCTGTTACAGTCTTTTTAGGAAATTGTAATTAGTATTTAGAATGTCGGTATTATGTTTTTAGAAATGAGCCATTACGAAGTAGTCTACCTTTGACTGCAAATGTTGAGTTCGTTCGATGATATTATTTACTTAGAATAGTAGTGAGTGTTAATTCACTTTAGATAAGTAAAGTTGTTCGGATAGAAGTTTCGGTGTTCAGAGTTTTCTTCGATTTGGGCTTGCGAGTGAGTCAGTAATGATTTAGTTTGCGCGGCAAGATTGCAGTTGCAAGTGACATCTCTGTGCTCGTTCGACTGACTGACTTATCGTAGATGATCAAAGAGAATGTAGAGTTTGAGAAGAAGTTCGTAGAAGATATTGAACGAGAAAGATTCGTCGTCTCGATTAGCGAGACGGTGAATTGTAGTCATCACATTTTTAAGCTTGAGTGCGCGATCGAAAAATGGTCTGCATCTGCGTGGTCACACGCGCTTTGGGTCCTTTTTAAGAGGTCATAATCGCGTGGGTGGATCCAGTGCGATTTTGCGCCAAAACTTCGAAGTGCACGTGCGGGCGACCTGATTGGTAGAAATGAACCAATCAGAGGGCTAGATTTACGAATGAAAGTTGGAATAGTACATTACTCAAAGAAGGTAAGATTGGGCTAATGGACGAGCCCAATAATTGTATTGACGTAAAATACAAATCGGTAAAATGCCTCTCGTTGAAAAAATGAGATAAGTAGAGTTGTAAAAGGCGTCCGCGAGGATGAGGTGTGACGATCTTTGGTGAGATATCTCTTGTAAAACCGGGCCAAGATGCCGTCCAACTGCTGAAAATGACCATTTGATGGGCTTTTATGTCCTTTCTTAGGCTCAAATCGGCTCCGGATTTTATTTTGTTTCTTTAGGTGGGAGTGGATGCTATTGGGTGGAAATTCTGGATTGTATTGCTTATTATTTTTTTCTTTGAGTGTGTGAGTAAAAACGAAAGGTATGTGCGGAGCCTTACGCAGTTGACGGAATTTTAGTTCAATTTTGGGTGTTCAGAGCATTCACACCTGGCCAGCAGCAGAAATTAATGCCGCATGAATCAGAAGATTTGGTTTTTGGAAGAATGTAACAACCTCCAGAGAGGCTTCATATGATTTCAACTTTAAAATTTGATTGGGTAGAAGCTCCCCCCGTCAATGGTCGAAAAATACAAATGTGTATTTTTCAAATTTGAAAAAGAAATCATAATCCGTCGGCCTTGACCGAATTATTTTCAACAGTTTTTCTTTGAGTCAATTCTATTTATAGAAAATTTAACGAACAAATGTCTCGCATCAAATTTAATTTTTATATATTTTTCTATCTACATTTTTTTAAATTATTTATTTAATTCACATTTTTTAAATATAATTTTTTTATATTCTCGCTTCAGTAAAAAGAGCAATAAACGAACTTAGTGTATATTATATTCACCTTTATTATAAAAAATTTTGTTATAAGACTTGTCACTTCTCATTCTCTTTAATTCCCAGAAACCTCTTGTGACCTATTGGCATTCGTATTGGGTGGAGCGAAATAATTTAAAAAAACAAACAAATAATGTTCCCCTGTTTAAAAAAAAATGTATGAGTGAAAGTTGTGACTTTCTTACTTAAACAACACAATTAAGTTAACTGTTAAATATAGAATCTTACATCTTTATCATTCAACCATTTGTTGTTTTTTATTTTTCCAATTTTTATGCTCTTCCAATTCAAGTTACAACGATGGTTGTGTTGTGAAACGAAACGTTTAGTTTTAAAAAATGATCGTCAGAAGTTTGCTCTTTATTCTAATTCACAATGCTTACTAACGACCGTAGAACGACGCTCTGAGAGTTACGATAGAAAACAAATTAAATTAAAATAATAGAAGTACTAGTAAAAAATTAATTAACAATCATCCTCAGAAAATTTGAGTATAACAACATTCGAGTAAATCTACAAAAGTCTCAACCGGAAGTTAACACCGTTTTTTTCTTAAAAGTACTTTCACCGTTATGACGTCACATCCGTAGGCAAAATGAATCTTGAACTTTTGCGTAAGTATTTTTGCGTTCAAATATTATTTTTTTTCCATTTTTTTTTCCAGACATTGAAAAGTTTAATATAATGCAAAGACTAAATCTTTGATCACGTGAATGTTTATAAGACTGTTGCATTAGTTTTAAAAAAACTTGGCAGAGCAAAACGAAAATTTTAAAAACAGCATTTTCTTTTATTTATTTTTTCTTTGAGTCTGACCGGGAACGGTAATAACAAAAAAATTTTGGCGGTATACAAAAAGTAGGCATTATTTTCGTGAGACACAATTTTAATTATTCACTAAATTTTGATGCAGTTAATATGTAAATCCATTTTTAGAAAGAAGAAAACATGACAATTTCTGTCGGAGTGTAACAATTCTATGCTGTTCTTGTCTACGTAAACAAATAATGCCCTGTTAGGTTTTTGCACCCAGTCTCAAAAGCTACCACCTATATTTACTTCCCGTGTATTAAAATTTGCTTATATTTATTGCATTAATTTATTTATATTTTTAAAATGTTCATTACCAAACTAGTGTAATTTATAAATTTTATAAATATCGAAATGGGACATACATGAAAACATCGTCAATTATTTGATGAGGATCCAAACGTCAAATTCTTTTTCAGTTTTCATTTATCTGTAGTGTTGATAAAGTTTCCTTCATTTATTCATGCGAATTTTTAGTACGCGAGATCATGTTTTTAGTTTTATGATGAAAGATATCAGCAGTAGTAACACTAACAATCATAACACAGCAAGTTTTAAATTCGGCAAAAGATAAAGGATAATCAGTGTTGACAACAAAATGAAAGGGAATAATACAGCAAAAGATTTGTACAGGTGCACAATATCGAAAATGAATAATCGGTAAAGTTGTGAAATGTACGATTTTTTTTTCTTTTACTAAGTACTGCATAACTAATAAGATTGATTAGTTTATTGGAATTCCTAGAAAAACAATCGGCTTCAAACGAGACCTAATTAAATTATCTAACTTATCATTGGTAAATAAATAATAACAATATGTTACCATCATAGACTTCCTAAAAAAAAATCTCCAAGAAACCCCCAAAAACACATTTTTAAATTATAAAATTTGTAGATACTTCCAAAGTGTCGCTAAAAAAAATGAGCGTGCTGCATACGATAAAAAAAAATGATGATAAAAACTAAACTAAAGTTTTATCGACAAAATTTTAGTTAAATTTAATTATTATTTTTTATTTAAATTATACTTTTTAAATTTTTATTCATAATCCTTTTTAGAACCGCCTTCATAATTTTGTTTAATTTTTTTTCTTGCGTCAGTGTGTGACCGTATCTTTTTGCAGTGAAAAACATTGATTTGGAAATTAAAAAAAAACAAAAAAAAACGAAAACTAATAGTTGTCGGATTTTAATGAAACTTTCAGGATTTATTCACAAATGAATGAAATTATTTTAGAAATGTTTGCTTTTTAAAAAATCTTGGTAAAAAATATTTTTTACATCTGTTACCCCTCACCTATTTAATTTTTTGAAATTCAGAGAAATTCATTTTGTTTTTGTATCTCTTAAATTTTCTTCAAAATACTTAAGGTCCTCTGGTTTTTCGCGGGAAAACAGATAGCGTAATGAAAAATGCCACAAACTTAACGAAAATTATCGTCAAAATGATAAAAGACCAAAGTATTTTTAATTATTTTAAAAATTTTATATTAAGTATTTTGAAGAATTTTTTTTTTTTAAAACAGAGACCCTAGTTACCAAAAATAAATATTCTCTGAATTGTAAAATAAAAAATGCAATAAAACTCAGACATTATTTAATTAGAAAATTGCTTAATTACTATTGTCTTAAGAAGAAAAAAATGGATTTTTTACGAAAATTGTTTACTTACATTTTTAAAAAATTAATTAGAATAATTTATAAAGTTTTAAATTTTTTTAAATTGTCTTCGTAGGTGATAAACCATTATGATTGAATATTTTCCTAAATTTTTAAAAGATTACTCAACTACTGGGTAGTTAAAATGATGTAAAAACCATCCATGTTGTATTTATCATGTAATTTATTTCAATCGTGTTCTCTTATATTTGTTGCTAATAAATAATCTATGGATAAATAAATCTGTCAACTTCAACATTTCATAAAACCACCCACCTCCATATTAAAAAAAAATAATTTACTGCAATAAAAGTAAGTAATATTTGTTTTACTTCGGATTAATTAATCTTTAAATCAGATAATCTTCCTTCAGAAAATATAGTTTCAGTCAAGTATATTTTATTTTTTTTAAATTTTTTGATGAAGAGAATTATGTTGGCAGATTTTTATCAATATGGCTGATTTTAGCAATTAAAAAATCATCACAATCAATTTTTAGAGAGATATTTTTTGAAATTGAGGAAAGTATAGCTTATTGGAAATATTCAGGAATTAAAAAAGCTAAAAAATTAAAAGAATCAAGAAAGTTGTTTTCATTTTTTTTTTTTCTTTGAATTTTGGCTTCATTTGAAAGATCTGGTCTAAGAAGCTAACCATAATTAAAAGAAAAATTAATTTCTGGATATAAATAAAGTTTTATTCATTTTTAGCACGTTTTCTCATCACTCAGCAAACTGCCATTATAGACGAAAAATGTAAACAAAAAATTTTAAATTCAGTATTTATCCTGTTTCGAAGTTATCTAGTAAATTTATAGATTAACAGGATTTTAAAAGTAATAATGTTTACTTTTTTTTTAGTGAAAACTTTAACGTCAAAATAAATTTTTAATAATGAAAAATCTTTCTTGAAGCTATTTTTAGGTGTAATTTCAAGCTGATAGATTAAATTTCCAATAAACAAAATATGCTGTATTTCAAAACTAATTGAAATTGACACAAGAAAAACAAGATTTTTAATAAAAATTTCAAATGTTCTAAAAAGGTTTAAAAAATTTAATTAGATATTCCAAAAATACTTTGAGCTTTCCTCTTAATGATAACGTAAAGATTTTGATGATAAAACTGTGTTTTCATTAAGTTTTTTTTTTTCATCACAGGATGTTAATTTTTTTAGTTTTTTTTTTTTTTTTTGAGATACTTAACCAAACTGACATCGGGATCTGGGTGCCAGTGTACACGATGCCATTTTTGCTTTTCAATGTTTCAAAATTTATCAGAAAATTTTTATTGTCAAAAAGAAATAATACAAATCTCATTAATAATAGCAAATTTCTCATACATTTGTGCAGCCTGTTCACAAAATTTAATAGGCAAATACAATACATGTACAAATGGTTATTGTGAAACTAGAGTTGTTATTGTGATACAACCCACTTTGCACAGGGCCAACAATGATGCGATTATCCAGGAATAAAATTTGTCTACCCTTCGTCTAGACGTAGCCTTTTAGCACTTCAATCTCATCAAGAGTGACAACAATACTTCATAAATTTTATTCTTTTAGTCCATTTGTGATTACACTATTTCTAATTTTTCTCAATCATTTTATCTTTTAGAATCATTTGGTCAAAATCATCCTGAGGTAAGTTAATGATTTTGATTCTTGTTTCATATTCTTTTCAATTCTTCCAGTCAAAATGTTGCTGGAGATTTGATTTAATCTTTTGCTCTTTTTTTTACCGCTTTTAAGGGTGAATTTAAAAAAAAAAAAAATTTAAAATAGTGTTTATGGTTTTCTTCCAAAACCATAAAATTAATTTAGTAACTTTTTCAATTGACTTTCATTTTATCAATACTTCATATCATTGACATTACTATTTGGATGTGTTGAAATACAAGGTCTCTCTTGATAACCCTAGTTAGACAAAGTGACTAAATATTTCTGAACTTTCTAATTTTGATATTTGTATGCCACAGTTGGAAAATTGTTATTTTTCTGATTATGAGCTGTTTGATTTGGAAGCAAAAGCTATGAAAATAGTTTTTTCTTTAGGTTAGAGGAAATGTTTTCAATCGGATCAAAATGCTGTCTGCACACACACGCACAGTCATAGATTCAAGTTTGCAAAAAGGGACAAATGAACTTTTATTTATGACTTATATTTGTCAGCATGAAAATAATTATTACTGCTGTGTTTCATGCACTATTATCATGAGTGTATAAAAAATGTTATTTATTCATAACATACTTTTCCTCTCAGATATACACACACACACACACACACAAGGGGTTTTGAAGCTTGAACAAGAAGAGATTCCAAATCAAATTCTGATGTTGGTCCATTATGGTTGGTTTTGGGAAGTGGGTCAAACTGAAAATTTTCAGTACCCTTTGTAAAATATATATATATAAAGAATGGGGTTTAATGTATATATAAAGAATGGGGTTTATATATATAAATAATATGTATTTGTGTTTGCTTCCTTTTTTATGGAAAAGTGCACGTTGCTGGTGAACCAGGAGTTATCCAGAATTGGACCATAAATTGGCAAAAGGAGTCAGTGTGTGTGGTCGGGAGGATGGAAAAAATTGTAGCTAACGGAAGTGACACAAGTTGATACCCGATCAGTATCAGTTGGGTCACTGTGGGGATGGGGTATGGTGTTGAAAGACCCGGATCACCTAATGAACCTTGGCGAGAAACATGATGATGTATACCAAAGCATCCAATAGATCTATTTTATGAATTATAGAGAGAGAGAAAAGATCATGCTGGTACCAGTTTGGATATGGGTGGCTATTTTGATTGAGCAAGGTTTCAATTTCCTATTTGAGGAATGCACATCTCTAATTGGGACTTTTACATATATATCTGTTAGCATCATAAAGAAATGGAAAAAGAGGAGATAGAGGTTCAATTCCTGTTAGGAGGCACAATTTTCTTAAGTAGGACTTCTCAATCTAGACTGGTTGTTATTAATTTCGCTATTTAAGAAAATAAAATAAAATAGGAATAGCAACACAAATGTGTCCCCACTAAAAATAACATTCATCATAAGAAGAAATAATATTGGATTAAAAATTCATTGAAAATGACTGTTGTTTACATTTTGGGTACAAAAATGGAGCTAGTGGATATAGATTCATAGAAGTCCCAATGTCCTCAAATAGGTAATCCCAAATGATAGTGAAACGTTTTGGCTATAGAAGCAGGTTTCCTAATGGGAAAGAGAAACAGGTTTTATATATATATATATATATATATATATATATTTAATGAAAAACAGACCACTTTAAGGTACCATTACAATAATTTATTTCACCAAAATCCTTTTTAAAGGATTTCGGATCATCAGGTAACGCTTCCAACGGTACCAAAATGGTACCTTAAAGTGGTCTGTTTTTCATTAAATATTAGCTCTGTTCTTCACATTGAGCTCTCAGGATTTCATCCTCCTTGGATTTACCAAGTTCTTCATAACTTAAATATATATATATATATATATATATATATATGAGAGAGTGACTGTAAATGAGATGTCAGATCAGGGCCAATCACATTGCATATCTGTCTCAGGATTTTTGCAAGGACCTTAAGACAAACAGCGGGGTCTCCAGACCATATATGGCAGCAGTATTCTATGCAAAAAAAATGATTGACCTGTGTATTTATGAAGAATAATGCTTTGAGCCAAGCAGTCTGTGTTAGTAAAATAATTTGTTGTTAAAATTTAATGTCGTTTTAGAAATGTCTGATATGTGTATAAATAATTCAATTCTGTGACGTAACCTCCTGATGAGCAGATAACATTTCTGAGAAACTAAGTTGGGAAGATAAGTTTGAACATTTTATTTGTTTACTAACTGTATAGGTCATGAATATAGGTGAATATATAGTGACTAGAACTCTATTTCATGTGTTGCCATTGCTTGATCCATCCTCAAATATAGATTAAGTACAGATGTTGCTTTTTAGTCCTGTTAGGATCTTATATTCTCTTGCACAAATGTGGCAACAGTTGCTACCTAATTACCACATAATATATAATTAATGATTTATACGTATATAGAGAGACATACATAAGCATACACATCTATACACTTATGTTGACACATTGTTCTCTTGCAGGAATTTGATGGTGCTTTGGATTGTGTGAGCATCGCAGTAACATGTGCTTTCAACCGTCAAGGCACCATATTAGCAGTTGGCTGCAATGATGGAAGAATTGTCTTATGGGACTTCCTTACACGTGGAATAGCAAAGGTTATCAATGCTCATGTTCATCCAGTTTGTTCTCTGAGGCAAGTTTGATATTTTTGGATTGTCTTTTTTTTCTTTTTTGAATGCCATGTCCTTTTAAAACTTGGTTGATCAGGCTTTCCACAGATTCCATTTCTTTATCATCTGTAGATGACCATGTGTTCTTGGGAAAGATATTGGAGTAGTTTCCCATTATGTTCTCCATGGTTTGGAATTCAGTTTTCTTTCTCTTAGGCTAGTTACCACCCAATGTTACAAGGGTGGTAGCACCTGTTAGGGTTCCAGCTATGGTTAAATAGTGAACCCCAAACAAAAACCCTATGAAAGTATAAAAGTTCATTTTTATTGTAAAAATACCATCAATACATTTTCATATTAAAAAATGACCAATACATTTTATCTGTATTTGAAAGTATACAATTGTGTTCAAAATATATTTTGTTGAAGCCAAGAAATTGTGTTCAAATTATTTAGATTTTGGCATTAAAAAACCCATAGAGGTGTTGATATGCTGCTAAACAAAACAAAAAATGGCTAGATAGCCTACTCTACTCTTCTAGTTAATTCATAGCCAGATGAAGAAGAGACATTTTCATGTCTTTCCCAAGGGTATTTGTGTGTAAGTAAACACAGGTGTCTAGGCTGGAATTTGAACTCGGCTTGCCAATTTTACTCTCTATTACACTGCCTGCAATATGGGCACATGGCTGAGTACTTAGAATGTTGGCATTCTGACCATGAGACCCTGGTTCGAATCTCACCATGGTCGATTTGTCAGGAAGTAGACTTCCTGAGGTTATCGGACTAGAGGGGTCAATTCCAGCATGTAGCACCTTTCAAAAGTGCCTGAAAAACCATACCACAGTTTGACCCAAGTCTTGTGAGTGAAATTGGGTAGACGGAACCGTTGGTGGCCCTTGATAGTTGTGCTAGCATGAAGTCACAAATCATCGTAACTGAGGGCTTGAGTGTGTTGGTCTTGTTCAAATTGTTGAGGATGTTAGATAACATGCTCTTTCCCAGAAACCATAACTAAGGTCTGTTTAGCATAGTTACAGTATAAACCACAGGTGGGCTCTGTGGTTGCTGAATGAGCACAAATGTGCCTGAGCAAGCATCTGTAATAGGGATTGTCTAGCTGCCCTAGTAGAGGGGTATCTTCAAATATGAGTGGCCAGCTATACATACACTGCTTGCATATTTTTTCTATTTTACTTACATAAAAAATGACAACATTTGATGAGGTTAAAATGAATGAGTTTTAACAGTATTTGACGGCTTATAAAACCTATTTTTCATTTTTCTTCAAAAAATGGGTTAGAAAAATATTCCCTCAGTCCTATATATGAAGACAAAGTATTGTTTTGTTCTCCCTTGTAAATTCTAGTAATATTTTTATTAAAGATATTTTTCCTTCTCTCCTATAGTCCTGTCAGGAAGCGTAGAATATGCCAGCTGCATCTTTTGCAGTGGGTTAAGTCCCTCCCAAAAGGGAGGCATCTATCAGATGAATGTAGACATGAGTATGGATGGTATGTTTACCTATAAATTGAAGTATAAACTTGATCAGCAATTGCCCATAGACTCTACTATAAATGCAACCAGCATTTGCCCATGGACTCTACTATAAATGCGGCCAGCGTTTGCCCATGGACTCTACTATAAATGCGGCCAGCGTTTGCCCATGGACACTAGTATAAATGCGGCCAGCGTTTGCCCATGGACACTAGTATAAATGCGGCCAGCATTTGCCTATTGCTTCTGTCCTAATGGGATGTTATGTCTAAATTTTTCCTTTTGCTTTTTATATCCTGCAACGTTTTTAAACAATATTAAATGCTTACCCAGAAATATTGGGGTGTGTGTATGGATGCCATCAAATACAGTATATCCATTCCTCATGGCTAAATCCTCTTGCTCTTTAAGTGCCAGTGTAAGGGAGATAACTGTAGTATAGAAAAAGTTATAGACATTACAGATCAAAAAAATAATGCCACTTCACATATTATATAGTAAGATATACAGATACACTTTGCAGTTTATGTATGTTGATAATTGTATTTAAAGCTGAAACTTTTATTTTTTGTCTAGTGTGAATCGTAATGGTCATAAGTTACTAAGTGCAGCAACCGATAATACAGTTTCCATCTGGGATGTGCAAAATGGAGAATGTGACCGAACTTATAGATTCCCTTCTCCAATTCTCAAAGTACAATTTCACCCAAGAAACAGGTATGTAATTTCTGAACTTTTAGTTCTTTGCAAATCATTCTTGGTAGAACAGTCACCTAGAGATTTTCAATTTATTTATTTATTTTTTTTTTGTATTTTTCTGATTTTTTGCAGTGAGATATTTATTGTTAGTCCATTGAAACATGCCGTTGTCAAGATGGAACTTAATGCCCATTCAATTGTGCCACTTGATGATGAGGTGAGTTAATTCAGGATTTTTATAAAAGACATTATTGGCATTATTTTCATCCTGCTTCTCTTTCATGAGCTTACTTTCTCATTTTAATCTTAATCTATCTTCAAAAGGAATATTATTCAGTTGTTTAAAATAAAAAAAAAAAACAATCTTGTGAGGAAGGACAAGAATTACTATAGTTACTGAATACAGGTATTACTTGGTTTTTGAAAGTTTGCTTTTAGAAAGGATTTCTATAAGTTCCTAGCTGTAAATATCTGAATTGGTTGAATATAAGACACATATAGTATTCATCTAAACATTTGCCATGGAAATAGCAATAGAGTAGCAATAGGCTTGTGAAGTTGTGTATTTGAGAAAGAGGCTGCAGAGTGGAGAATAAGTTTTCTTTGACAAGACCGCAAAGGATTTTGAAATCTGCCAAGGCTTGAGAGTGAAGATTGAGCCACTCCAGCCCAGGCATGGCAGCAGTACACCATTTTTTATCTTATATGGCTCTTGTAATGGCAATGTAGGCACATGTCTAGAACGTTTACTGTCTCACGATGAGACCATGTTTGATCTGTCAGGAAAGAGACTTCCTGATGTCAATCCCAGCATGTAGCACCTTTGGAAAGTGACTGAAAACCATACCACAAGTTGACCTAAGCCTTATGAATGTAACTGGGTAGACAGTACCCCTGGGAGCCAGCGATAACTGTGCTAGCCCGAAGTAACAAGTCATTCTGACCGATGGTTTGAGCGTGCTGGCCTTGTTCAGATTGTTGATCATGCTAGATAACATGCTCTTTCCCAGAAACTGTAACTAAGGTCTGCACAGCATAGTTGCAGTATAAACCACAGGTGGGCTCTGTGCGTGTTGAACAAATACAAATGTGCCTGATCTAGCATCGTTATAAAGAAAATTAAGTTATTTCTTTTAAAAGTTTCCTTATCCATAGTGACAGAAAATAATCTTTCATTCCAACCATAATAATGCCACACAATATTCTAATTTTCTTAATCCCATATAATAGGTGGAATATTAAGTTTTTTTTTTTTTTTTTTCATTTTCAATCATCAATAAAATTCAAGTTGAAATGAAAACAGGTAAATGGACTGGGTTCTTTTGCCAAAGACTTAAAATTTGCCTGGACTGGGGATTCTTTTGCCAAAGACTTAAAATTTGCCTGGACTGGGGATTCTTTCGCCAAAGACTTAAAATTTGCCTGGACTGGGGATTCTTTTGCCAAAGACTTAAAATTTGCCTGGACTGGGGATTCTTTTGCCAAAGACTTAAAATTTGCCTGGACTGGGGATTCTTTTTTGCCAAAGACTTAAAATTTGCCTGGACTGGGGATTCTTTTGCCAAAGACTTAAAATTTGCCTGGACTGGGGATTCTTTGCCAAAGACTTAAAATTTGCCTGGACTGGGGATTCTTTTGCCAAAGACTTAAAATTTGCCTGGACTGGGGATTCTTTTGCCAAAGACTTAAAATTTGCCTGGACTGGGGATTCTTTTTTGCAAAGACTTAAAATTTGCCTGGACTGGGGATTCTTTTGCCAAAGACTTAAAATTTGCCTGGACTGGGGATTCTTTTGCCAAAGACTTAAAATTTGCCTGGACTGGGGATTCTTTTGCCAAAGACTTAAAATTTGCCTGGACTGGGGATTCTTTTGCCAAAGACTTAAAATTTGCCTGGACTGGGGATTCTTTTGCCAAAGACTTAAAATTTTCCAGCTATATTTTTTTTGGTCTACTTTTTTTTTTTTTTTTTTAACACCTTCTCAATTTTCTCTTTTTTCATTTCTTTTCTTCAGTCTGATTTAAACATTGTTACCTCATTTGATCGTCGTGGGAAACATATTTACACAGGAAATGCTAAAGGCAGGGTAAGTGTCTTTTTCTTTCAATCAATAAATCATGGTTGACCACAGTTGTGTTCATAGTTATTGTAACAAGTACAAAAAATTAAATAAGTGTTCTAATAAAGGACAGAAAGTGCAACACTGAGATACAAAGACGTATTGCAATGACCAAAGATGCATTCCAAAGCTAAGCAGTGTATTAGGAGACAGAAACATTTTGTTACAAACAAAGAAAAGAGTACTGAACTGTTATGTGAGGTCTGTCCTCCTGTATGGCAGTGAATGCTGGACAATCTCCTCAAAGATGATGAAGAGACTTGACACAACAGAAAGGTGGTTCTACAGAAGGATGCTGAGAATACCATGGACTGAACATGTAAGCAATGACAAAGTTTTGGAGAAAATAGAAACATACTTAACATCAGAAAGAGGCAGTTGAAATTTTTGGGGCATGTAATGAGGAAAGAGCGCTTGGAAAATCTGATACTCAAAGGACATATTGAGGGAAAGAGGGACAAAGGAAATCAGTATGTAACTTACTTGATGAGCTTGAGTAAATGGATGATAGAACAGGGTTTGGGAGAAATAACAAAAAGACAAAACTTATTAAGAACTGCAAGGGATGGGGAGATGTAGAGAGCCATGATCGCCTATGTCCTGAATGGACACTGCACATAAAAGAAGATATGCTTTAACAGGGCTACAAATGATTTTAAATTCAGAGTTGTCTTCCTGAACCTGCTGCTACCTAAGGCTACAAGACCCAGTCTGTCCTGCTATTTACTCGTAGTTGAGGGGCAAGAAGAGTGGATTCATGCCTTTCTCAAAGGTATTAGCACATAAGTGAATATAATGCACTAGATTGGAATTTGAATTTGGCTCTCCAATTCATCAATCTGAGCCGCTACCCATTACTCCACCATGTGTCCCTTTGTCTTTCAACCGCCAGCTGTATACGCACAATGTACCATTTCAACCTGAAATGTTTTAATTCCAAGTCACACTCCTTCGCTGTCAATTGAACAGGAGTAGAGGCTTATCCCTTGTTTCCTGTTTAGGATTGGGTTTCTAGTTCCTTTTAAAGTTGTCTCATTCTCTTTCACTCCCAATATCTTTTGCATCTTAGTGGCATTATTGCTTTGCTTGGGGTGAAATGTCTGAAAAAATGTCCACAATGGTCTAAAAATATTCTTCAAAATTTAGAAGCCAGTTAACATTTTGTATTGAAAAAAATGAGATTGAATGTTATAGTGAAAAATTCAATAAATAAGTATATGTCAGACTACAGAGTAATTGATCTGTTTTTGTATTTGTTTACTTTGGTGGTGATAATGAGACAGTCATGTGTTTTCCCTTTTTGTGGCAGGCATCTTTCAGTCAGAATGGTGCGTAAGCAAAGTGCATTGGAATTCTTGACAAAGGAGTGATAAATAACCTTATCAGATGCTATGGTCAGAAAGTTTTTTTTTTGCCTTATATTGAAGCCATTAACATCTGCTGGATTTGAAATTAAACAATTCCAAGTACGTCTTTTTCTGTGTTAGTTCATATATACCACATTGGGCTACTATTGATCTTGCAATGATCGGTGATATTATATATGAGTCTGAGGTTGACCGTAAAGAATATTGAGATTGGTGCACTTTCAGTGGATTTTCTTTTCACTTTTAATTAGACTGGCATTTATTAGGTCAAAATTGTGGTCAGATGTATCAGTCTAATTTAAAAATTCTCTATTGTCAATCTCAGCCCTGACTCAAATACAGTACCAATGATTATTGCAAAAGCAATAGTAACACAATAGGGTATATGAACTAAGCTATAATTAAAATTCTGTGACTTCTGTTAGTCCGTCTGTCCATTCACCCCACCCTCTAAATAGCTATACATTGACCAATTGAAACCAAATTTTTGGGACAAGTGCGAGGTAAGGGGGTACAAAGTACAGTTGGTTTTACTGGGAGTGTAGCTTAATACAATAAATTTTAATTTTTTTGGAAAAATTTAGTTTTATTATTTATCATACAAAATATTCCCACTATTTTAAAAACAATTTAATGATTAAAATAACAAATACTTAATAAAAATGCAATATTGTTTTTGCATATCTTTAAGTTTTATATGTACAAGAATCCTGTTTGCAGTTCACCCTGCATTTGCAAGAACTATAAACAAATCACAGGGCCAAACACTTCAAAAAGTTGGAATTTGGTTCCAGAAAAAAAATGTTTAAGCATGGCCAGTTGTATGTTGGATGCTCAAGAGTAAGAAATCCTAGTAATTTATTCTTTACTGTTAAAAAGGAAAAAAAAAGAAGTTTTCTTAAAAAAAAATATTGTTTACCATGAAGTCCTATAAAATTAAAGAAATTATTAAACTGTGAAGTAGGGTTTTTAAGTATTTTTCCAAACAAATCAGCTTTTTCAAATTTTATCGATTGATTTGCAAAATTGAATAAAATGTAGAGTTTGTAAATCTTGATAAAAAAATGTTAGTGATTCAACAATACTAAATAGTGTGAGGATTTCAGCACACTGACGTGTATTGCAAAAATATTCTAGTATGTAAAAAAAAAAAAAAATCTGCTCAATTTCAAATCCAGCAGATGTTAACGGATTCAATATGGAGGAAAAAAAATCTTTGTTGCCATAGCATCTAATAAGGTTATTTATTATTCCTTCATCAAAAATTTATACTCCTTTTCCTTACACAAAGGTTTGTCTTTTATTCTGACTTGAAGACGTCTGCTACAAGGAGGCAAAAAACATTGTCTGTAAAAAAGTATTTCCATTTTGTCTCATTATCTTCGCTTTCGTTCGGATACTATTCCACATCTTACTAAAACCTATTATTTTCTTTTATAGGGAGATTTACATGAAGTCATTATTTTGTTAATTAGTAAGTTATATCCACCTGCAATTTGTTAGGCTTCTGCAAAAGTTACTAGTGTTCTCTTTTGGTTTGGCTTATTTTGTTTTACGACATATCAACCCTAATTGGTTATTTAATGCTGACAAGATTCTTAGGATAATTTTGTTGGAATAGAGTATGTATTCTTTGTGAGAAATCAGTTTATAGATCAGATTTCATTGATATTTTTGTTAAGAGGGTTTTTGTCAAGAGTCAAATGTATTGCTGGTAACACTTTTTTTTTTTCAAAGATGAATTGCTGATAATTTATCAAAAATGTATTTCTGGTATTTTTACTACAAAAACCTATCTTTACACTTTCATAGTGTTTTGACCCCAGTTAGGAGGTTAATTATTTTCCCATAGCTGGGACCCTAACATGTGTTACCACCCTGGATTAGGATGGACCTGGGAACAACAGCAATTAAGAAGTGGTTCCACACTCCTCAAAACCTCCTGATCAGAGGCCTTGCTGCCAGATGTAGTTTATTGTCGTACCCAGGATGATTCTCTTTTGAAAACAAGAGATTGAATCCACAGTTGAAAATAGGAAACTTTTGCACACGCTGCAAAAAAAAAAAAAAAAAATGAGAAAAATATAGAAGCAAAAAGGAGACAATGAAAAGTTTATAATAATAAAATATGCTGTATATATTTGTTAATAGGTCACACTAGTAGGTAGGTTGCACTCTTAGTTTGGGGTTATCAACGTGGGTATTTGTAGTTGACTTGCAGATACTTTGCACTATAATCTGCTGAGATGACCCTTTTTTAGCATAAATATAAATATTATTTGTTAAATATTTTAAAATATTCATCTTTATTTCAAAACTTTGCTTATAAGTATTAAAACCAAAGAAAAGTGTTAATTCATTTAGATATAGTTATTAAACTTCATCAGGACCAGAACCCCCAAATTCTTCTTTGTCACTGTTAAACATTCTTTTCATTTGTTCATTCAGTTCATCAGTTATGGTATATTCATCTCAATCCTTATTCTCTGTCTTTTTCATGTGATGTGTTATTGTTGAAATATGCTATTTAATAAAATTGAAATATCAAGGAAAAATTAATTTTCTTCCTTGCTCTCACTTATGCCTGAGCCTAGGGTTCTCGCCTGGACTACTGATATGCCACAGTTTACTTCAGGTTCTCTGTGATGTTGAGTGGATAGGTCGCACCTCTGATTTTTATTGAAATTTTGCTTAAAAAATAGTGCGACCTATCCTCAAGTATATCTCTCCTGAAATCCTTTATGCGATAATTATTCCATTCTTCAATTTTGAATTCAATGTTGTTTTTGTCTGTTTTCAGATCCTTGTCTTTGCCACAGACAGTCTTGAATTAGTGGCATCATTTCGAGTGACAACAGGAACCTTGAACACAACTGCCATCAAATCCATTGAGTTTGCTCGAAGAGGAGAGTAAGTTGACATTCTAATAAATTTTACTTCCTTGGCTTTGGGAAAATAAAAAATACTGCCAAGTTTTTTGCGCGTTACCATAGAAGGCACAAGATTCTATTAAAAAAAATAACAGGTGATTTTGAAGTAATCAGTACATTTTGTTTAATATATTAAGTCTGTTTATGAATAAATCAAGCTGAAAGCATCATTTCTCATTTGTTCCACAAAGCAGTGTTGCTCGTGGTCAATATTTGGATGAGGTACTGTTTGGGAACACCAAGTACTGTAAGCAATAAGTGAGTAAGCCCTGGTAAAAAAAAAAAAAAAATTTCTCCTCTTTGGAATGCTGAGTGATAAAAGATGATGGTACTTACATCAACAGACTGTTTTTTTTTTTAATCGCATATATATCTGCTTGACAGAAGAATGTCAGTGTTGATGGTAAGGAGATACCATCTGTAAAAAAATGAGACTGCAATCTTTAGTAGGAGTTGTGATTACTAATTGTAGTAAACTCAGTTGGATTGTAACAGAGAATCATTATGACTACTGAATCTAACCATTGAGCATAATATTCCTTTGAGGACAGTCGGCCATTACACTCATTCTCTGTTAGTTTTGTCCTTTTATGAGAGGGTTGATAAATTTAAGGTAATTAGAAAATTATAAATTATGAAAAATTGTAAAAATGTAATACAAAAATAAAAAGAGAAACTGATGAAAAAAAAAAAAAAAAAAAAAATGAATCCTGAAAATTGCTAAGTTATTTTGTAAATTATTCATATTTTTTCCCCACAAATAAGTCTACTTTTTCATTTGATCATCTAAGTTAAGCAGTGTTGCGCCTGGTCAGTATTTAGATAGGGGATCACTTGGGAACACTAGGTACTGTAAGCAGCCTCCTACAACCCAAAATGTGTTTCAGCTTTAAATCACTCACAATGGTTTGATAATCCATAAAAAACAAATTAATAATTCATTTTTTTTGTCTATTCTGGTCTTTTTTAAAATGTACATCTTTCTGACTTCAGCCTTCAACTCAAATTCATTATGAAAAGATCAAATTATCTGCAGTAAAGTATTATTGGCCAATCTCTATCCAAGATGCCCACAAAAAAACGCTATAATAATGTTAAACATTCTCTTTTTTTGTGTGGTAGTGACACAAATGTGTCCAAGAAAGACATTTGTGTCAATACCACACAAAAAAGAGAATATTTAACATCGAAAAACATAAGGAAAATTAATTCATTTTAATAATATGTGGAAATATCCACTCTTTGTCTGAAGAAGGTTGCGACATGTGAAACTCATGTTGCAAAATTATTGAAAATAAAATGTATTTTAAAAAAAAAAATCCACATTACAACCAAAAACGTTTCCAGTTTCTCTCTTCTTTTTAAAATATATATATATATATATATATATATATATATATATATATATATATATATATGCTACACACACACACATATATATATATATATATATATATATAAATGATATAATGGAATATGCATACACCTGAGTTCCCACTCACTGGAATATGATTGGCTGGTGTCTGTCCTAAATACAGATGGACATGTAGGTACAACAGAGTTTAAGTCTATGACAACGCCCATTGGACTACGGCATTAGGTATCCTATTGGTCTACACCTATTAACTGCCACTACGACAAGCACCAGTTGATTACTGCTACCGTGTACTACTTGGTGACAGTAGCCAAAACCACTTAGCTACATCGATCAAATATATCCGTTTCTGGGACATATCTATATATATATATATATATATATGCTATACACACACACATATATATGTTTACAGTTTTTTTGTGTAACAATTGGAGGGCAGTGTGCAAAATAACGATGACCCACTTGGTCCTGTTGATGTGTACTGATATCGCTATTGAAGAGGTTCGTATATATAATAAACCGTTTATATCTTCAAGAATGCTTTGTTCATTTTTATAAATACATTTTAAACTTAAAAAATTATAATTAAAAAAAAAAAAAAAAGTGTGGGTAGTTATATATATATATATATATATATATATATATATATATATTTGTGTGTAATCCATAGACAGACCATTTTGCTGTATCACAGCTCATCAGTGTGGCTAGACATCCAATTGCTTCAAGCCATGATCGAAACTCAACCGATTTGACATTAGTCAGAGACCCTTACTATCAGCACACAGCAGTTAGTCCCTTGCTATTGGCACATGGCAGAGAAAGGGAATTTTTTAATGCATTATATACATGATATATAAACACTGTACTGGCCACCAAAGCACTCATTTCTTATGAAGAGTGATGCATTTAATGCAACCAGCAACTGTTAAAAATTCCCTTTTTCCCATAGTGATTTATCAGTGAACAAGAGCATATTATATATATATATATATATATATATATATATATATATATATATATATATATATATATATATATATATATATATGGTTTTGTGTGTAACAATTGAGAGGCAGTGTGCAGAATAGTGATGACCTACTCAATGACATGCTAATTTGGGCCTCGTTGATGTATACTGATCTCGCTATTGAACAGGGTTTGTATACATATTAGGCCACATATGTGTTCAAGAACGCTTTGTTCATTTTTAGAAATTCATTTTAAACTTTAAAAATTATAATTAAACAAAAAAAGGTGGGGGAAACATAAATTAAAAAAATATCTGATGATACATTGCTCTTAGTAGGGCAAAAAATAAGGAGACTCTGAAATTACAGATTGAATCTACAGACTGTCAAGGATTATTCAGACATTCCAAAATTTACACAAAAAATATTGTGTTTTGGGAACTTTTTCAGTAAACATGATTTTGGTTGTAAATATGTAACATTGATGAGGATAATATACGGATATTTCCTTATTTGTTTATAAATTTTAAATTTTTCAATTATTAGCATTAACAGCAAACTATTTTAAATTACAAAATTCTACTTGGATGAAACGAAAATTACTTACAATATAATATGCATTACTTTTAATACATTCCTTCTTGCCGTCAATTTTGACTGCACGGGTATACTAGTAATTTGATTATCAAAAAATCCTTTGATCTTTCCTCTTAATCGTGACAAAAATGATTGTCAGTGATCTTGAATGAAGTCAACCATTGATGACAGAATATTGTTTTTTTAATTAAAGACCTGTTCTATTTAATTTTTATTAAAAAAATGTTTGTTAAATTCAATGGTTTAAAAAAAAATATCTTTACTAAATGAGCCTTTGATGTTGTCTAGTTGTTATGGTAATTGTTATTATGATGATTATTATAATCTGATTACAACAAAGTCTTTTATCTTTATGGCTTTTTCTTTTGCTTGCAGCTGTTTTCTTGTAAACTCTGCAGACCGTATCATCCGAGTGTATGAGAGTGGAGAGGTGCTAGCATGTGGCAAAGATGGAGAGCCAGAACCAATTCAGAAATTACAGGATCTTGTCAACAGGTAAGTGATATTTTTGCACAAGACATTTTAATAAAAGGTTTATTAAGCAGTGAAAGACACAGGAAGAAAGCTACAAAAGCTCCTACAGAAGGTAGCAACGGAAAGTGAAAAGAAAGGATTAAATATCAATTGCAAGAACACTGAATGTATAGTCGTTAGCCCAAATTGCAAATTGGACATACTAAAAGTGTTTAAACAGAGGAATGGATTCGTGACACTAAGATCCAAAGGCGTATTGGGATAGCTAAAGGAGCCTTTCAAAAGCTAAGCAGAGTACTGAGAAATAGGAAAATTTTGCTAGAAACAAGTAAGAGACTTCAAAACTGCTATGTGATGTCTCTTACTGTATGACAGTGAATGTTGGTGAATCTCAGAAATGAAGAGGAGACTTGAAGCAACAGGAATGTGGTTCTTCAGAAGGATGCTGAGGACACTGGACTCGGTATGTGAGTAATGACAAAGTTTTGGAGAAAAATAGAAACAAAAAGAAAACTAATACTTAACATCAGGAAGAGATAGTTTCTCGGGCATATAATGAGGAAGAAGAGCTTGGAAAATCTGACTCTCACAAGGCACATGGAGGGCAAGAGGGACAGAGGTAAACAACACATAACATATTTAATGGGGACACCTTGATGTAGTGTAATGGTTAGCAAGATTGCCTTGCTAAATCAATTATGACTGAATAGTGAGTTCGATTCTCACTCGGTGTCCCATCCTGACCTTTGTCCATTATTAACTGCCATATAAGCGGACTGATATTACATAACAGTTCAATATTCTTTGTTTCTAATGATGTTTTCCTGTTTCTTAGTACTTTGCTTAGCTTTTGGAAGGCATCTTTCGCTATCCCAATCTGATTTTGATGTTGCATTTTTCCATCTCTGTTAAAACACTTCCGAGATATTTAAATTTTTGCACTTTTGGCATCTCCAATTTGTAATTCACATGTAGGGCTGTTCCTTTTGCCAACAACCATAAATTCTATCTCCTTACAGTTGATGCTTAATCCTTGCTTTCCTTTACTGCCTTCTGTAGTAATTTTTGTAGTTTCCTTTCTGTTTGCTATCAACACTGTGTCAGCTGCATATCTAATGTTAAGATTGTGGCTGCCAATAAAAAATTTTGGTAGGATTTCTTCACTGTAAAGAGTGAATAAATTTGGTGAGAAGGTACATCCTTGTCTTATGCCCCTTTCTATTTTTGTGTATATTAGTTGTTTTAATGACTTGAACTAGGAGCTTGGCACAAGATTAAATAAAACTTACTGCCTATTTTCCCTGCAATTGCTTATCAAAACCATTTTTGATGATGTTTTGTTTACATAGAATAGTAGCAAACTAAACGGCTCTCTCTTCATCTGAGAGAACCTTCTCTGCCTTCTGTCATGGCTGATGCTGACCTCCAGGAGAGTGACTTGCTGCACCTTCTTAGGCTAATGTTCTCAGCTGTTATATTGAATCCATCGCTAGGTCAGCTGCCAGTAAGGTTGATTCGTTGTGTTGTGCTAGACCGTTTTTCTCTCCAGTGTCTCTCTTACATATCTATGTCTACCATTTGTCCATGTTTAGAATATTGCTGGCACATATGGTCCAATGCTCCTGCTATCTATCGAGAGCTCCTTGATAAAATCCAAAGAAATATCAGCTATATTATTGTCCCTGATCTGACATCTCGGCTTCAGTCACTTTCCTTCTCTGTAAGGTTGCTTCCCTTTGCTTTTTCTATAAATAATTTCATGGTAATCGTTTGGATGAGCTCTTTGTTATGGTGCCTAGACTCTTTGAATTTAAGTGCAGTACGAGACTGGTGACAAGATCTCACCAATTTACAGTTGAGTTCACTAGATGTAACTGTAAATTCTATGCTAAAAGTTTCTTTTCTCATACTTGTCACTTGTGGAACTCTCTTCTGGCTCCATGCTTTCCAGCCAACTTTAATCTTCAAAAATTTAAATGCAATGTTAATTGCTATCTGCTGTCCTCCTGATTACTCTTCCTCTGTTCTCCTTAGTAATGCTCCCATTTCTAAATCTTCCACACCCAGTAACCTCTTGCGTCTTGGTGGCTTTACTGCCTTGCTTAGGGTGAAGTAGTAGTAATATCTTCTTGAATTAAATGTACTGTCAATCATTAACTTTTTTAACCTTATTTCTTGTTTGCCATTACTTGAAGCATCATTCTACAGCCATACAACAGAAGTTACAAAATCATTTTTTATAAAATTTTGGAGGTTGCAAGATCGCATGTTACATGAGTATATACAGTATGTCATTTTATTTTTTTTTATAACATATTTCTATAACGTTCTGTAATATATTTATAATTTGTAGAATATAACAATATTCTATAATAACATGTAAGGTAATAAATCAAATTACAGAAAGTATCATTAAAAAACTCCTATTTTATTCTCTCTATCTTTGTGCACTGGTTTTGGAAAATATTTCCTTTTTGTAAGTGTTTTAAAAATAAATGCTTTTTGTATTAATTTTTCAGGACAATGTGGAAAAAATGCTGTTTCTCAGGGGATGGTGAATATATTGTGGCTGGATCTGCACGGCAACATTCCTTATATATTTGGGAGAAAAGTGTGGGTAATCTGGTGAAGATTTTGCATGGAACCAAGGGGGAACTTTTGCTTGATGTCGTTGTAAGTGTCTCTTTCTATTTTCTCTCCAGACTTGAAATTTTAAGAAACAGAGAATCTGTCTATGTTTCTGAGATGAGGTATTATGTACAGTATTTACATTAGTCGGACTATTGTCCTCATCTTTGTTGCCATATTTGTCACAACGTTTCGGCCGTTGTACACTCCGGCCTTCTTCAGGTGGTTGGAATTTCGAATAGAACCCTTTATTTCGATCACTGGGGTAGACTTCTAGTTCCACGTGCCATGTTTGATGGATGTCAGTTATCAGTTATCTCCTGCTAATTTTCCCTCTGAAAGTTCTCCACTGCCTTAACCAGGTATTGAACTCGCCTTCTTTGGGGCTGTCACTGGATCTAACCAACGCCTTTATCCACTGTGCCATGTGTCCTTGAGGACCTGAAGAAGGCCGGAGCATACAACGGCCGAAACGTTGTGACAAATATGGCGACAAAGATGAGAACAATAGTCCGACTAATGTAAATACTGAACAACAGAGAATATAATAATGTAAATTAATATCATGAATCAGATGGTAGTAGCCCTGCCTTAGAAACGAACCTGTCATTTTGCTTGAATGCAAACAAAAACAAGTTTATAATAGCTGACAAAAAATATCAGTTGAGTTTACCATATATTTTTTGAACATGAAAAATGATACACTATTTACATTATTCGAACTATTGTCCTCATCTTTGTTGCCATATTTATTACGTTTCGGCCGTTGTACACTCCGGCCTTCTTCATGTGGTTGGAATGTCGAATTGAACCCTTTATTTTGCTCACTGGGGTAGACTGTTCTAGTTTCGCATGCCATGTTTAATGGATGTCAGTTACCAGTTATCTCCTGTTAATTCCCCTCTCCAAGTTCCCCACTGCCTTAACCGGGTATTGAACTCACATTGTTTGGGTCTCGTTACTGGATCTAACTAACGCCTTTATCCACTATGCCATGTGTCCTGAGTTCAATACCTGGTTATGGTGGTGGAGAACTTGGAGAGAGATTTAACAGGAGATAACTAAAATCCATTAAACATGGCACGTGGAACTAGAACAGTCTCAGTGAGCAAAAATAAAAGGTTCAGTTAAACATTCCAAATCACCTGAAGAAGGCGAATCTACAACGATTCCAGCTGATATAATAAAGATGAGGACAATAGTCCAAATAATGTAAGCAGTATGCATAATACCTCATCTCAGAAATATAAACAGATAATGAAAAATGCCCAAAACTACATAACCTATGAAGGTTTTGACAAACCAGAAAATTACATTGACACATCTGTAGCAGAAATGAGATTTTTGCGATATATTTTTCTACATGTAAAAATTTTAGCAATGCAAAGGAAACTTCTGAGCACTGACTCAAACAGATGTCTACTTGTTAGCTATGTGCCTGGTAAAAATATGTCTGATCCCTAGGTCCTTGCTAATGTTTTTTTGTAAAAGAAGAATCTGCAATATTATTGGTCTAAACCCACTGCTGTAATATAGCTTCCCTTTGCCTTTTCTATAAATATTTTTAACCAGTTTAGAAGCTGCCCTATCAGGCAGCATTTAAGCTAGCTTCTGTGGAGGACTCTTGATTGGGCCTTTGGCTTGTTCAGAAATTTGAGAATCCCTAAGTCTTTGCATATTCTCAGCATTGGGAGTTCTCTTAGCTGCCGTTTGATCTGGTTTATCATTTACATCGGACTTTTCTCTTCCTCACTGCATCCTTGGCTCTTTTGATAGCAATCGGTTTCTCTGTTTGTGGAGATTTCTTTTTGCAAGGCATACTGCTACTATATGTGATGGGTAACTATAAACTACAGAAGAACTCAAAATCATTTGCTGCATTTAAGTATTGTGTTAATATTTAAGCTTACCTTTTAAAAGCTCATCAATAATTCTTCTGCCACCACCTAATTTAAAGACAATTTCATGTATGTAGGTCCTTACTTTCCATACAAACAATTATTTTCATTTTATGGGTGACTTTCACTGGATTTAGCAATTAATTTCGATTATTCTCAAATTTATTTCCAAGTTAGAAAAATTGTTATACAAAAACATTTGTCACAAAAATCATGTAAAAAAAGAAATCGCCAAAAACAATTGCAGCAATGAAAACTTGGGAATCCAAAATTTCTGTAACATTAGCTATTGAAAGTTATAAAGTTGTCCCTTTAATTGAAAAAGTGTGGTACAGTGACAGTCTGAGATTCACATTTATTATATAGATGGTAATTGTTCTGATGAACTTTGCTCTATGGCATATAGACTTTATGAATTTAAGCACTGGAGGTGAGATCTCATTAATTTACAGTTGAATTGGCTGGAATGTAACCATAAGTTTTATGCTTACAATTTCTTTTCTTTCTTGTGGAATTCTCTTCCAATTCCATGCATTCCAACCAACTTTCATCTTTGTGCCCTCCAGTCTTCCACAGGTGTATATTTATCTGGGTAACCTACAGAAAATTCTGAACTGGACCCTTTATTTAATCTTTGGTGATAACAACAACGGTGATGGGGACAATAGTCTAAATAGTAACTCCTAATCTCAGAAATTCTGACAAAAATGAACAATATCAATTGTTATCTACTGTCATTTTTTTTTTTTTTTTTTTTTATTCTCACTCTTTAATAATGTTTCTCTTTTTTCTTATTCTTTCACACTCAGTAACCCCTTGTATGTTAGCGGCTTTATTGCCTTGCTTGGTGTGAAATGATTAAAAAAAATATGTATGAAATAATTATTTCAATATTATTTAACAAAATACTAAGTGAAATTACTCTTAAAACATTCTCCATATTAATCTGAAATCTCTTTCGTCATCCAATTACTATGTTGAATTATTCCCAAAGTAGGAAATGTTTTTAATACACAAGGGTTGATTGATGAGCAAAGAATCTAATTCTGTAAAACAAGTTTCAGACCAAAGAAACTAATGAAATTGCTATGAAAATGAAGTTAATTTAGTTCTCTTCAAAATTCCAAGTTTACTTTTCATCCTTTTCCCAATTTAGTGTGGCATATTTTTCCATCCATCCGTAAAGAATGTTTTCTTTTGATCCAGTTGTGCCCAGCAACCTTAGCTACAGCATTAGATCTTTCAACTCTTTCAAATTTGGAAACAACCAGAACATTTTGCCCGTTTGTTGTTTTGGTATCGCATTGTTTTCATTCAGTAGTTTTATATTAAGCATATGGTAGTAAGAGAGAAAGGATTAATGAGAAACAATGTTTATTGTTGGTAAAAAGTACAGGAATGGCAATCTCTGGTGTAAGTGTAGTGTCAGGAGTTGAACCATTTCTTGTGATGACGAGGCTAAGATCACAGGATATGGTTAGTGCACATTTGATTGATGGAGGTCATGATTGTAGGTTATCTTGTCAGTTGGGCAACCTGTTGTATTGAAATGGGGTGACATTGGATCGGCATGGTCTTGGTAGCTCTGTTCTGTTGAGTAGATGTCACTGGGGTCGATTGTGGAGGGAATGTCTTTTAAATGAGTCGAGGTAGGCTGTGGTGATGGGTGTGGGGAGGCCAGTCCTGTGGAAAGGAGGTTGCTGCATTAACTGTAAAGGGAATGCCTCGTAAATGAGTCGAGGTGGAGCTGTTCTGTGGAGTGGGTGTCACTTGTGTTGACTGTGGAGGGAATGCAGAATAAATGAGTTGAGGTAAGCTGAGTTGACGGTGGGGGTTGGTATTGATGAAGGCTTCTAGCTGGGAGGAATTGAGGTTGAGAAGTTGAGTTGAAACTGAATAGCTGAGGTGGTAGGTCAAGCCAGGAAGTGATAACAGTTATTGAAATGTGCAGTCATGTTACGTGGTGGCTGGTCCACAACTCTGTTGTCATGATGACAAGGTCATGGCGGCAGGAGCAGCACCCTGCATGATGGTCGGCAGCCAGGCTGCAACTGTGTTCTGATCATCCTCAGAACCTACTTTTAAGCAGGTCTTGTAGTCCCAAGGGGTGTCTCTTTACCAGCGGGAACATTCGCAATTGGCCACCACCGGAGTTCACGTTGTAGACGACATGGTGTGTGGAACCTAATGTACAGAAAACGGCTTTTGTTTTTTTGTCTTCTGTCTTTGTGGCATTTACATCCGGCCAGCATGTAGAATGAATTAGAATGAGATCTAATTGCAACAGAGTATAACAATAGGAAATCCTCCTTTCAAGCTTCAGTGATTGTAAGGTTTCCCAATATTTGACTAACTTATTAGTCTCCTGACTTCTTGATTGTTATTCTATATATAACTTGAATATAGTACTCGCAAATTCTTTTATGTGCCAAATCCCTTCAGGACTTAAGTGATCATTATTCTTCACTGCTTCCTGTTTTTCGTTACTGTCATTTTTCTTCTTTTTATCATTGTTCTTACCATCCATTCACACAAACTCATGGAGTTTACTCACTTTTTCCTGTCTTAATTGTCTTGTGAGTATTAAATTCTTTATGCTCTCTTTCCTCATATGCTGGTTTTCTGAGTGTAGCTTAGATCTAGTACAAGACCAAAAGTATGGTGCGCCCAGTGAGGATTGAACTCACTACTTATCCATACTTGAAGTAGCAGGACAATCTTGCTAACCATTACACCATATTGAAGTGCTCAAAATAATTTTCTAAGCACAGCTTAGATGTGGCACAAGGCCAAAAATGTGGGGAACCCAGTTAGGCTCAAAATCACTCCTCTGTTGTAATTGATTTCGCAAAACAAGCTTTATTGCTAACCATGACACCATGCCAAAGTGTCCACCCTTTCGTCATGATGTCACAGAATTTTCATCTGTCTCTTTCTGATTGTAAATGCAAGTTTCATTGCTGTTTCTATTTTCCTTAAGACTTCCTTATTGCTCACATGTTCTGTTATTCTGTTAGAATTCATCAGTAGAACTACAGCTCTGTCATTTCAGATCTCTTTTTTTCACCTGTGAAAAAATTACCAGCATTCACTGCCATATAAAGGATTAGATATTACCTGACAGTTCAGCCTTTTCTTTTTTTTGTTTCTTTCTCACTTACAACTTGTTAGATAATGCCATCACACAGCAAACTGACATGCAGCACATTTGAACAGGACTTAAATACTACCAAATACATTTTGAAACAAATTTCTATTTCTCTAATTAGCAACCAAAGAGACCTTATTTATTGTTGTAACCAAGAAAGGGTTACTGAATGAGGGATAACCAAAATGGAGGTTGGAAATGAAATGGTAATCATTATAACATCATCAAAATACAATACTCGCCAGCAGTGTGAAGTAGGTAAACCACTGTGGTGGACTAATAAGACAGTATATTACCCCCCCACACACACACTTACTAGTGTCCAACATATGAAGATTGGGACATACCCATTAATGTTCATAGGTATGGTATATAACATTTATTTATCAACTCTTATATTGTTCCATTTCTTTCTCTAAAAGCAGGATCAATAAAAAAAATATGAATGAATTGATGACCATTGTTATTTAAGTCAAGGTGAATGTGTTTTGATTCAGGCATTCTTTCAGTTCAGTTTACATGTTCTTAGCATCTTTATCATAATATTTTGACTGCTAGAGTTTCTGGAAGGCTGGAAAGTACAGCAGTTGAAACAAGATAAAAACAAAGATGAGGAAAATGGTTTGAATGAATCAATTTATAATAGAACACCAAACCTAAGAAACTTTGTATTAAACATGTTTCCTCTTTTTTTTTTTGTTTCAGTGGCATCCAGTACGTCCAATTATTGCTTCTATTTCAAGTGGAGTGGTTTCTATTTGGGCTCAAAATCAAGTTGTAAGTAAAAAAACTGGTGGCGTTCTTTTGAGTTTAATGTACTTTTAATTTGACAACCACTTATGGTAATTGTAATATTAGTTGTATCCTTACGGGGAAAACATTCAGCATTCATTGACAAGTAGCCAGTGCTATTCAATTTACATTTTTCTCCACTACCTGGCCATCGAGCTAGGATCAAAGTGTAGCATCTGTTCTTATCTCTAACGATAATATTTTAATCCATTTCCCTACAAGCAAGGTGATAATGCTACTAAGACATAATGGGTTACTGAAAATGAAAGAAAATGAGCTGTTTCCTGATAGGGAAACATTTGGCATTCATTGACCAAACAGCCAGTGCTACTTGCAGTTGAAATTTATTAAATCTTAAAAAAAAATCATTTTCTGGAAAATAGGTTGAAATGTCAACATTTTGATCGTTATTTTCTTTTCATTCATCACGTTACACGTGATATCCTTTTTAGATGTTTTTGGTGTTGAAAGTCTTCAAGTGATGTAGTTTCTGTTATTTGGTACAGTTCTTTGTTATTCTGCAGTTCCAGTCAATGAGGTTCAAAAAAGGATTATCCCTGCTAAGACCTACAGGCTTCATTAAGACAATGCCATTTTAATCATTAATCTGAGAAAATATTTGTATGAAGTTGAACGTTTAGATATTTCTGAAGGAGTCTGGCACCATAAATGACATCCATATGAAAGTCTTCATCTCAGAAGGCTATTTAAGAACATGACTTAAGTTCTTAAATTTGCTTTTGTAGTAATTTACAATTTTGGGAAAAGCTACACCAAGCTCAGCATATTATACAGGCTGTGTCCCTAAAGTCTAAGCACCCCAGGCAAAAATGTATATTTTCAAGAAATGACATTTTTTCTCTGTCTGTTCTACAAATACTTTCATGGAAATTGCTCCGAGGAGCTGCATTCGCTGGTTCCCAGACATCATGTTCCAGCGCCTTACGAGGCTGGCATCCCGCTCTCACCCCTTCAGTGTCGAAACTCCTAAATGTAGCCGTCTCTTCTACTCTAATAGCTTCATGTCTCGCACCTCTCGCCTGTGGAACTCCCTTCCCTATTCCTGTTTCCCTGTGAGCTATAATCTCCAGCTATTCAAGTGTAATGTCAACCGACATCTCCAGTTGCCTTGATGTATCCACTACCCTCATCCTTTCTTCTATCACTCCTATCTGATCTTGCTCTAAACTTTCTGTAACCCCTTGCGTCCTAGTGGCTTCCCGCCTTGCTTGGGGTGAAATGCTTAAAAAAAAAAATTGGAATATTAACAAATAACATCTTCAATATAATTTCCATCATTTGTGATGCAAAGGTTGATGCACTTTGCACGATTCATGTGAACTCGATGCAATAACTCCATGCTGCCGTCAATTTTAGCACATTCACTCTTTATGCATTCATTTAAGTGTACACCTCTTTTAGCAATCCCCTGAAAAAGAGGTCAATTCTTTCTTCTTTCAGCAAAACTATGTTTAATCTGTAGAGATAAAAAAAATATATTGTTAATGAGATTTCCTTATATGCCCAGACTTAAGGGATATTTTGTATATTCAATTTCCTTATCTCCAATACTAAATATGTTATAACTGATTCATACGCCAAGCTATTTTAAATGTTTTGTATTTACTAATTCCACATTTTTTGATGAATTTTGGAGTATGCCCTATCACTGTTTTCATTCCAATTTCAGATTATAGTTTCTGTTTTTGGAAAGGTTTATCTTAAGTCCTATTTCTGAGAGCAGTTGATAACAGACATTGAGTTTTGTTTAAGATATATCATCAGTACACTGGACTCGGGAGGGTAAACAGGGATGCTGTTTTCTATTTGTGGATTTGTTTGGGATATAGTATGGAAATACTTAAGTGATTTGTAAAGAGAGTAAATAAATTAAGACTCTCATTTCCTCCTTGTACTCCTCGTGAGTTTTGAAATGACTTTAGTATTAGGATCAACAGATATGTATGACATTGTGGACCAATATAGTTCCTCTATCAGATCTATACATTCAGTGGTGTCAGAGCTGGAAGATGGTTTCTGATGGAGGATGTCCTGGGTATGACAATAGACTACATCCGGCAGCAAGGCCTCTGATTGCGAGATTAGAGGTTTTGAGGAACATGAACCAGCTCTTAATTGCTGCTATTCCCAGGTCCACCCTTACCTGGGCTGATAGTACCTGTTAGCACCCCAACTATGGACAAATAGTGAACTCCCAAACAAAACACTACGAACGTATAAAAATATATTTATACCAGCAATATATTTTTATATGAAAAATGACCAACAATACATTTTTTTAAAGCAAAATGACCAATAATACATTTTATCTGTAGTTGAAGGTATACAATTGTGTTCAAAATATTTAGATTTCAGCATTAAATAACTCAGAGGTTGATATGTCATTAAGCAAAATCAACTAACCAATAGGATAAGTGGAAGTCATTATTGATGTGATCATATACTGCTGTGAGATTGACATAACAGGTATACAATTTTTTATTGGAGAGCTGCACAATTCCCTGGAGTTGTTTGATGACACATATGACATTATTACACCCCTTATACTCTGTGCATATATATATATGTATATATATATATATGTATGTTACATTTAGTGGATACATTTGTTAGAGTAGAAATCTGTTTTATAAACATTTTACTGGCCTGTTTTCTTTTTTAATCTTTAATAAGAAAAAATGATACATAAATTTTATATTCAACATTAATGCTATGAAAATCAATGACCAAGTGAAAAAATGTTTTCATGTAACACATGTCCTTTTGGACTTTATGGGACTAAAATGATATTTACATTGATGTAACTCCACATGTGCACAAATTTTAATCTTTTAAATTTTATTATTATTATTTTTTTTTTTTTTTTTAAATATGTGTTTGGTTATAATAGTCTAGCCAGTTTTATTTAGTTTCTTTTTGTTATTAACCATCCCACATTGTGTTAATAGAAAAGTGAAATGTTGTAAGAACCTTGATCTAAATGTACTGTAGATAATCTAGCAATTACAGCACTTTCTATACATTTTCATCTTTGTTTTCTTTTTTAATTAGAATAGTATTTTTAAAATAAAAATTGCTCATTACAGTGAGCAACTAATGCATTGAGTGTGTGGTTTTGTAAAAGATCCCTTTTGTGTTCATTTAATCTTTTATTTAAATTCCTTGAGGTTTCCATGGAGCAATTATTACAGGTGAGAGAGTAAATTCCACCTTCAAGTTATAGCTTATTATTTTGTTTTGTATTAAGTCTTATTTAGAATAAAAGAATCTTACTTATTATAAAATGCAGATTGTGTGTGTGTGTGTGGTGTGTCTGTACGTTTATATATTGGATCGGATTTTCTACATTTTTCAACCGATTTCAACAAAACTTTACAGGACTGCGTAAAATTACCTTGCGGTGGTTCTGACAGTGCCAAAAATTGGAAAAACACAATTGTTTTTGCACGAAATCAATTTGAATTTGTGGGGAAAAAAAAATCTGCCTCGTCAGTCATGTATCAAAAGATACATGATCACCTAAGTGTGTATCATGTATGGCACATAACTGACTAGATTGGCAGCAAGTTTGCATCATTTTATAACTGAAATGGCTAGATATAACTAGAAGTTCTGTTTTAACAGTTTCCTCTATCGCACTTCTTGCTTGTAGAACTCTCTTACCAGTCAACTTTGATCTTCAAAAGTTTAAATACAATGTCAATCATTATTTTCTGTGTTAATTCCTGTACTTGTGTGTGTGTGTGTGTTTTTTATATTCTCTAAGACTCAGTAACCCTTTGTGTCTTAGGCTTTATTGGGGTGAAATGATTTTAAAAAAAAAAAAAAAAAGAAAAACTAGTTCTTTCAATACGTTTTAATCCATCATCAAAGGCAGAAGTCAAAATTTATCTCTCTAAAATCTAGAGTAAATGCCTTACCACTTTTTGCTTTCCTCCTCTTTGGAAAGTTTCTTCTATAGTTCGTCTTTTAAAACTCAAAAAGACCATTTAACCCTTCTATTGACCTATTAGTCTTTTACCATTTTTGGCAATGTTCTAGAGGTTCTAATCAATACCAGTTTGGTTAAGCATCTCCTCTCACAGTGTCTTCTTTTAGCAATATGGCTTTTACTTCTCTAGGTCAGCTGCTGATGTATTAATGATTATTTTTGAAGCTCAGTTTGTTGCTTTAAGATTTCTCTAAGGTGTTTGACAGGGTTTGGCATGCTGGTCTTTGCAAGTTGAAAGGTTATGGTATTTCTGGATAAATTTTTTAGCTCATTCAATCTTATCTAATTGCAAAAAAAAAAAAAAAGATGAAAACTGTGTTTCAATCATTCATCAAAGTCAGAAGTTGAAATTTATTGAGAAAAACCCATATTTATACAGAGAATGTATTTTTAAGAAAAGGAAAATTCATAATTTAAATTTGAATCCATGATGATGTCTTTTTTTGAGCAAATATACTGTATTTTCTGGCTCACAAGATGTACTTTTTCCTTTTTAAAAAAAAAAAATACCCTGAAAAATGTGTGCATCTTCCAAGACAAATGTAAAGCAATGCCCAAACTCGAGTAAGCTTGGATGGTCGCTTAATTGCCTTTTCTGATAGGGGCATGGATTTGTATGTTGAGTCAGTACACTATAGCTATCTATCTAATTTTAGCTTTTATATGATGTAACCTCAGTATTTAGCTGTTGCAAGTATTTCCAAGACTATAAACCTTCCTGGAGCCTAGCCACAAGCTTAAACATGTTCTGTTTACTAGCAGCGGCAGGAGCCTTTCTGCTCTTTGACTAGTATATATCATTGCCATACAAACAAAATCAGATGAGTGATTAATGTAAATAATACGTGGCACCAGTGAGGAACACATGGTGAATGTGTTGTATGAGAACGACTTTTTTTTGTCTTAGAAATTTCTTTCCAATATTAGGGTGTGTCTTCCGAGCTGTAAAATATGGTAATTATTTTTTCATCTTAAGTAATTATTTGTTTCATAAAATGTCTTACTTTTCATTGTAGGAAAATTGGAGTGCGTTTGCTCCTGACTTTAAAGAATTGGATGAGAATGTTGAATATGAAGAACGGGAATCAGAATTTGATATTGAAGATGAAGACAAAGAAAAAGAAGAAACAAAAGGTTCATTTTAATTATTTACATTATTTACATTGTTCAGAGTGCTGTATGCTCTGGCCTTCTTCAGGATCTGTCTATATTTCTCAGATGAGGTAACTATTTATATGATTCAGACCGTTGTACTCATCTTTGTCATATTCACAACGTTTCAGCCATTATACGCACTGGCCTTCTTCAGGATCTGTCTATATCTCTCAGATGAGGTACCCCAGTGGGCTAAATAAAGGGTTTGGTTCCAAATTCTAATGTATATCACTTGAAGTGTCGTGAACATGACAATAAAGATGAGAACAACACTCCAAATAATGTAAATAGTTACAATACCTCATCTCAGAAAAATAGACAAATGTTTATTTTAATGTTTGTAGTTGTTTTTTTAATGTGCTGGAAGTGAGGGATCACTTTCACTGTTGCCAACATGCTTAATTAATGACCCTAAATTCTCTCCTATGAAATAAGTAGGGCAAACTTCTGGTAATCATGACTTATTTAACAAGTATTTCTTTCATCTTAATTTTGGCTTCATCATTTTAATCTTATTGATGTTGCCTGTATTCAAACTTGCAATTTTCCCGTTGCCCAGTATCTCAATCAGATTGTAGAGTTTCCTGCTCATTTCCCTAATAATTCTGATCAACAAGATTCTTTACTTGATTTGTTCCTTACTGCCACTCATCAAGTATTGCAACTCTGCCTTCCTGGCAATTCAAATCATGTTGAGATCTGTTGATATTTCTTTTGACTCATCTATACCCTATTTACAAAACTTTTTACTGTTACTAGTTGACTGATTAGGATTCATTTTATGATTTTCTTTGTGATGCACCTTGTGAAATTTTTAACCTTCCTGTTGAGAATTGTATCACTGATGTTTCTTCTTTGATAAAATGCTTTTTCCATCTTGGAAATACCATGTGAAACCACACTCTTCTCTTTGATCCATACCTGTCTGTACAGTTGCTATAGCCCAGAGAAATCAATTTTTTCAGTTATTGTTGTGGTGTTATTTCGCAGTGGAGGCTTGTATTTGTACTAAATCAGTCCTACAATAGGTTCGACATACAAAACGTTAGGAACTTGATATAATAGGTATTACGCAGAGTAATCTTGTTGTGGTCGCTGACTACTTTCGTATTCGACTAGCTGTTGATGACTGTCGTCCAACATCGACTGACCCTCGTTTCTCTTACTACTCCTACTTATATTAGGTGGGAGAGTCTATTAACTATAGAATAGGGGTGTTTCACTATAACAGTTATACTAATGTGATAATTCTGATCATAACTGATGTCTCTTTATGTCAACTCATCATAATTGTAACTGTGTTCTCAATGAGATTAAGTCTTTGTTTGCAAATAGAATGAGGCATTTTATAGCATCTAACAAGTTTTGTTCTCATGACTACTGGCAGTTCTGTAATAGTTTATTGAATAAGGATAAGTCCTCAACCCCTTCTCCCTTCACTCAGTTTGAGATGCTATCATCTTTTGCTTTGCTTGTAAATTCTCTTCCAATTCTTCTGTTGAGTTATCTGAAGTATCTTTCCCTGACTTTCCACTTAGAATGGGTCTCTTCTGTGTAATATGCATTTAGCTCCATCCATGTTTTCTGCCATCATTTCTAAACTGGATTCTCACAAAACATGCGGTCTTGATAGCATCCCTGCAATTGTCCTAAAGAAATATGCTCCTGAAATAGCTCCTGTTCTCTCTGAACTATACAGTAAATCCGTTTCCACTTTTTGCTTTGCGGCATGTTGGAAATTCTATTCTATAGTTCCAGTCTTTGAAAACTCAGGAAAACCATCTGACCCTTCTATTGACCTATTGGTCTTCTACCTCTTTTTGGCAATGTTCTAAATGTTCTAATCAACACTGAATTGGTTAAACATCTTCCCTTACAGGGTCTTCTTTCAGACAAGCAATATGGCTTTTGCTTCTTTGGGTTAGCTGCTGATGTGTTATTGGTTATTGTTGAAACGGTTTATCAAGCTTTAGATAAGAATGGTAAAGCTCAGGTTGTTGCTTTAGATTTCTCTAAGGTGTTTGACAGGGTTTGGCATGCTGGTCTTCACAAGTTGAAAGCTTGTGGTACTTCTGGATAAATTTAACTCATTCAATCTTTCTTATCTAATCTTGGAATGTATACGATCTTGAAAAGTCACTTTTCTATATCTTTTTACATTTCTACGGGTGTCCCTCAGAGCTCTATCCTTGGGCCTACTTTGTTCCTAATTTAACTCCATGTCCATACTGATGATACAACTATTATCCTCTCTTAATGGTAAGCCTGATAAGGTCAAATTGGTAGCTGATCTAAAAAATAGCTTTCAGTCTGTTGTTAACTGGGGCAAGAAATGACCTCCAAAATGAAACTGCTCTCTTTTAATCCCATTAGAGATCCTTTTTTGCCTTTCATCAGCATAGCTGATCTATGCCGCCAGGAGAGTGGCTCTTGGCGACTTCTTGGGCTTACATTGTCCATTGACATGAAGTGGAATGATTATATTGAATCAAGTGCTAGGTCTGCTGCTAGGAAAGTTAGTTCACTGTATTGTTTCTTGCCAGAATTTACCTTACACCTTTATTATATCATTCATCCATGCATTTAATATTGCTGTCACATCTAGTCTGGTGCTTCTGGTATGTATTTAGAAACTCTTGACAAAATCCCCCAAAAAAAAATCTGCATTGTTATCAGTCTTGATCTGGCATCTTAGTTTCAGTCATTTTCCCATCATATTTCAATTTTTACTATCATCATCATCAGTCCCATGACTGGGTGTAGTTATAGTATTGCAGAATAGCTGACCACCTCACCAGTTGCCTCCACATAACTGGTCTGAAAGACTAAGAGGTAATCATTCATGAGTAATGATTCTTGGGCCTGGCAGAGCTTATCTCTAAGTCAAACCACAGCCAATGTTCTCTGAAGGCTCATTTTGGTTACAGACACATAGCCATTGATTCCAATAGAGGACAACTTCAGCATAGGAAACCCTCCCCCCAGCAATGCCATGTCATCACCTCATCTGTTCCATTGTGCTAGATGGTCATTGACCTTACAAGAAGATTCACCTACATTTTTGACAGGTCTGGTTTTTAATCTTCTTAGACGTCTAACCATTCTCCTCACCATAAAAGCCAGATGGGGGAACTGGTTTAGTCACCACCGATCTGACCATGCAACAGGTAGTACTGGGTTACATGGTACAAGTAACACTTGTAAAGTGACCTGAAATAAAACTAGACATTTACTAGCATAGTACCGATCATAAATGATGCTATTATTTCCATATGGATCAGCACTTCTGTTTTGGATTAAAGTATCTGTGTATTCTGCTGAAGATCAAAGTGTCACAGATTAATACTGTGCCTAGAGTAAGAGTGTGGTATATGTACATACCATGCCTGAAATAGTATCTGTGCATACTATGCCTGGATTAAGAGCATAGTATCTGTGAATACTGTGCCAGGAATAAGAGCATAGTATCTGTATATACCATGTCTGAATTAAGAGCATGGTATATGTTATACCATACCTGGATTAAGAGTGTAGTATCTGTGCATACTGTACCTAGATTAAAAGCATGCTATCTGTGCATACCGTGCATGGATTAAGAGCATAGTATCTGTGCATACTCTGACTGGATTAAGAGTGTGGTATATGTTATACCATACCTGGATTAAGAGCGTAGTATCTGTGCATACTGTACCTGGTTTCAGAGCTTGGTATCTGCACATACTGTGCCTAGATTAAGAGCATAGTATCTGTATATACCATGCCTGAATTAAGAGCGTGGTATCTGTGCATGCCGTACCTGGATTAAGAGTCTAGTATCTGTGCATACCGTGCCTGGATTAAGAGCATGCTATCTGGGCATACTGTGCCTAGATTATGAGTAGTATCTGTGCATACTGTGCCTGGAATAAGAGCACAGTATCTGTTCATGCTATGAAAATTGCTCCACATAATATATCTGTGTATATGGTAGCACATTGCATTTTATTTATATGGATTGTTTAGATTCCTTGACATTCTTATGTGAACAACACATTTACTTTTTCTTGTAATGATGTATGGTGATTGGTTGTAAAGTATTTCGTTTAATATAATGAAATAGAATGAAAAGTAATATGTTAATATGCTTAAAATGTAATAAGGAATTATAATGCCGACAATGATGTGTAAGTGGGGAAATATGGAAATTAACACAAACTCCGGAAAATGATCCTGTACACATGCAAAGATCAATAGAGAAAATAATACTGGTGTTAAGTCTAAGAGATAGAAATAGTACCACATGGCTTAGAAGACACACATTTCGCAAGAAGGAAGGATAATAGATGGAGCAAAAGGCTTGTGCCCATTAGATAGCAAATGCAGTAGGAAATGAGATGAAATAGATGCATTTGCTGATAAGATAAGACAGAGAATAGCACACTTGTTGGCATTGGGAAACACCTTATAGTAAACTAGAAATAGCTGATAATAATATAATTTTTTTTTGATTATGCCACCTCGTGAAAAGGCAATAATGCTACTAAGATGCAACTGGTTATCGAGAGTGAAAGAAAATGAAAAAAAACATCAGTGAGGAGGAAGGATTATAAAAGAACAGTATTCAGAAAGACAGAAGAAAGACAAGCAGGAAACAGGAAGAGAGTTCCATAAACATGAAGTGAGAGAAAAAATATTTTGTCAAGAGTCTTAAGATATATAGCAGGAGCAGCAGACCAGATGGGGCTGCAATATTCAATGCACAGATAAATGGTAGATTTATAAACGTATAAGATGGATTCTGATGAGAAAAATTTTCTGGCATGACATGGTGAACTGCGCCTCCCCCAAAAAAAAATGGAAAACTTTTTGGAGGGAAAAAACTTTTGTGATAGGGCTGTAGAAATCGGTCTGTGAGTGTTCCTTGATCCAATGATCTGGTTTTTGTTTTGCAGGCCCTGATGAAGAAGATGAAGAAGTAGATGTTACAAGTATTGAACCAATCCGGGCATTTGTCAGTAGGTAAGGAAAGTTTTTAACTCAAGAATTTGCCAGTAAAATGGAGAAGAAAATTTTGTCACAGAATCGGTAAATTCCTTTGACAGATGAATTCGTAGATTGTCAGTAAAGGTGGGAAAAGTGGAAAAAAAAAAAAAAAAAAAAAAGGTAAAGTGAGTATTTAGAAATGACTGCAGAAAGAATTAAGGAGAGAAAGAGTGAGTGATGCTAAGGGTAGAAAGAGGTGAAGAAAAATAAATGACTGAAGTTTATGAAGTAAAAAAAGGGTGAATAAAAAGTGAGAGTGAAGAAAAAAAGGTGCTTAAAAAGAATGAGTATATGAAAATAAAGATGGCGGGTAAAAAGAATGAGTGTACAGTTAAAAGAAAGTTGGATAGAAAGAGGATCTCTCTTTATTTTTTTAAAAAAAAATATTGTTTAGTATCTATCTATATTTTTGAGATGAGGTATCATGTACACTATTTACATTATTCAAACTATTGTCCTCATCTTTGTCACCATATTTATTACAACGTTTCGGCTATAGTATGCACCTGCCTTCTTCAGGACACATGGCACAGTGGATAAAGGTGTTGGTTAGATCCAGTGACAGGACCCAAAGTGTGTGAGTTCAATACCCGGTTAAGGCAGTGGAGAACTTTCAGAGGGGAATTAACAGGAGATAACTGATATCCATTAAAAACATGGCATGTGGAACTAGAACAGTCTACCCCAGTGAGCGAAATAAAGAGTTCAGTGCGACATTCCAACCACTTGAAGAAGGCCGGAGCATACAACGGCCGAAACGTAATAAATATGGCAACAAAGATGAGGTCAATAGTCTGAATAATGTAAATCTTGTTTAATATAAACTGGATTTGATAAATCAGTTTGAAATATATTATGTAATGATTTTTTTTTTTTTTTTTTTTTTTTTAAATCAATTCACCCCAAGCAAGGCAATAATACCACTATGATGCAAGGGGCTACTGAGAACGAAAGAGAATGAGAAAACCTCAGAAGGAACCAAAAACCCAATCCTAAACAGAAAACACAGGATAAACCTCTCCTCCTGTTCAAAAAGACTGGGGAGGTTTGTGAACCGGATGATAGGCAAACCTATCTATTCCTGTTGTACTTGATTACCTTTCATAACCAAAGTATCCAAAATGGCTGTTCTGAAAAAGATGAGGTGTACAATGCCATGTTGTATAATTTTGTTTTCAGCCAATGAATGGGCATTGCATCAATATGAAAAACTGAGTTATTATTTCAGGTGATATGATTGTTATATTTCTTGTTACAACTTCACTGGAAAAAAGTAAAGATCTTATTTAGGATCAGAACCAAAACCACATGTGTTTGCTAACGATCATTTTGATGCTTGCAAAATCTGCAATAGCCACATGATACTTGATCAGTTACTGAGGAAATATATCTCATCTTTCTTCAAATTTGATACAAGACATGTTTGGAAAGTATCTCTGTGAATATCTCAAGAACTAGTTGCATGGCCTTGATATAATATAAGGTAATCTATCAGAGGGGACTTTACTGGGCATGCATGAGAAGACACTCTCCCATCAGGTTATTCAGCCAACAGTGGGATGTTATTGTATTAGATGACTGTTGAATTCCTCTTGACATTGCACCTGCCCATTCTTCATGTCTCACAGTTTTTTTTGGTAAATTGTTGTTGGAAGAAGAAATTCAGACTTCAGATGAGATTAGAAAGAATGTCATGAGACAGCTGTTGGTAATCCTGGAATATAAACTGTTTTAAAAAGTGAAAATGATGCTAGGATGAGTGAAAAGATTTTAAGAGAAGTACTTTGAGAGGACTAAGACCTCTTTGCCTGAGTTAAGCTACTCTTTTGTTAATATTAAATGGTTAGATGTTTTCCAAATGTAGTTTATACATCTTAGTGTAGGGATGCAAAAGGTGATTATCTCCTTTTAGGTTAAGATGAAGTTATGTGGATCATATGATGTATGCTAGTGACATCATTTCATAAAGTGGCTAGTCAGCTTTCAAGAGTCAAACCAAGCCCATGGTGCCATTTTCTTGCGGAAATATATCTCCACCAGATATAGAAAGTCCTCAGTTTGTGAAAAACCCATGATTCACCATTTCCTTGTTTGAGCAGGTAAATCCAGCTCTCTCAAATCTGGAATCTTGAATATGTCTTCTCCAAAAACACAGAAGAATCTACAGCAGACTCTGTTCCCATTAGGAATTATTATAAGTAAAATCCTCTCTTTTAATCCGCTTTTCACGTTGCTTGTTGTATAGACAAGTTTTATAATTTTTCTGTGTGGATCACATGTAACTATGTCTATATCATTTTGTGTATGACTTAGCAGCATAAAACTCTCTCTCTCTCTCTCTCTGAGAACAAAGCATGTTTGTCATTCCTTTGCTTCCACTAATTCCATTCCACCCAGGAAATAAGGTGTATATCATGGATATAATAATAATGCCCCTAATGGGGAAAAATGAAACTGGGAGAATAAACCATCCTTCCACAGCTCAGCCATTATCTGGTGACCACAACACAGTATAATTATAAACCCTGTTAATTTGTCTTATGAAATAATTTGCATTGAATGCTCAAAGGTCGACCAGAAAAATTTTATTTATTTATTACTGCCTGATTCTATTTTAGTGATGAAGAAGCAGAAGACGAAGGTGCCCCTCCTGAATTGATGAAAAAGGATGAAATCTGGGAGAATAAACCATCCCTTCCATCTGAGCTTATTTTCCATTATCTGGTGACCAGATACATGTATATACACAGTATAATTATAAACCACTGTTAAACTTTGTTTACATATGTAATTGAAATTAGTAATTTGAAAAAGATATCAATTAATGCTCAAAATTTTGTTCAGTTGACAGAAACGCAAGAAAAATTTTATTTATTTTTTCCACTCTTTACTGCCGCCTTTTTTTACTGATTCTATTTTAGTGATGAAGAAGCAGAAGACGAAGGTGCCCTGATGTATTTGCCTGTATCTCCTGAAATTGATGATCCTGAAGAAGGATGGCCTCTAGCATCTGATCTGGTGCACCAAGTTGATTATCACTTAACACAATCAGTATTACAGAATTTTTATCCTTTATTTTTGGGACAAATCATTTTCCTGGAAGATTTCTTGTTTCAACTTATCTGTCGTCTGATTTCAATATATATAAGGCTGCAGCTCCAATTCTTCAGTGTGTTCTTGTCTGAGGGTTCTTTTCGCATGAACTCTAACCTCTCTCCTGCTTGTCTGCTTCATTTTTCTCACCAGGCAATCTTTCTTCTTCTGTAGGAGAGTTCACACACACACACACACACACACACTCTGCAATTCCAACTCATCACTGGGGTCCTGCTTAAATGTGGGTCTATGAACTTCCAAAAGCTTTCTGTCTTCTCATTATCGCTGCCCTTTTTAGTCTCTCGATGTCATTGACCGCTTTAACAATAAACTCCTGATCGAACATTTCTTTCCCCTTTTCTTCCGATATGACCAATTGATCAAACATTTCTTTTCCCTTTTCTTCCGAAATTAGTGTTATTGAATTGTTTTAAAAAACAAAATCCAATTTGCCTTTTTTTGCACGGGCGCAAAATGAAAAAACAGATATCTTTTTCGCCTTCTTTTCGCCTTCCGAGCCATTTTGTTTTGATAAAAATAATTATCTTCTTGAAATGTCTCTACTTTTATTAACGCGGGTGTCCAATTTTGTTTAGTTTAAATTGTCCAGAAAAAAGACACTTTTCTCTGATTAAAAATTGTTTCATTGTTCCCAAAATTTCTCTTTATCCAAAATTGATAAGGTGTCTTTCCATGCAAAAAGGTAGCTAGGTGTTTTGAATTCTTATTTTCTTCCTAAATTCTTTTCTGACTCCTATCTCCACCTCAATTGGGTCAAAGTGCGTCCTACATTTCTTTTCTTTCTTTTTTCCCTTCCTTCCTTTTCCTTTCTTTCCTTCTTCTTCCTTACCCTAGTACCTTTATTTTTTTCAACTCAGTTATTTTCCGCTTAAAAAAAAAAATTAACAACCTGTTTAGTAAATAAGAAAAAATTAAATTTTTCAAAAATAATGCAATTTATTTTTGTAAAAAATTGTTTGAAATTTATCAAAAATTATTTAAAAAATTTATTTTGAATTGTTTGAATGAAAAATAATTGAAACAACAATTATGCTAAATGATAATTATTTGAAATACCTATGTTTGAAATATGTATGTTGTCTTGGTTTGAGAAAGTCAATGCTGATTTATCTAGAACTAATAATGCTCTTGAAGGATGGCATAAGGCTTTTTTATAGCAAGCGTCATCCCATCATTCCCCAACAATCTTAAAGGAAAACAGGACTTGCAAGAAATTCGTATTGCAAAAGTAAGAGCAGGTTGACGAAATATCAAGAGTGCCAAGAAATGCCGTGGCATAAATTGAAAATTTTGAAAATTAATAGCATCCTTTAATGAGTACTCTTCACTAGTTGACTATTTGTATGCAGGCATCATATAACTTAAGGTTATAAGGAATTTCTTACTAAGTTGTTTTATTAACAATATTTGTATTTTGAATAATTACCATTTGTGTATTCCCTCTTTTAAATTTTAAGTTTTTATTGCAATAAACAGTTTTGCATTTTGAATAATTATCATTTAGTATAATTGTCCTTTCAATTAATTTTCATTCAAACAATTTACAATTCAAATAAATGTTTTTTGAATAATTGTTTTTGAACAATGTTCATATAATCCCCCTTTTTTTTTCTTCACATTCTCTTTTTACCCACCCTTTTTTTATTCTCACACACATTCTCTTTTTAGTCACCCTTTTCTGTTTTTCTCTTTGTACATTCATACAATGAGCTGCTCAGTCTTTGCTCCATGAGCCAGTTCTTTACCTCAGAGAAACTACAAACATTGGAGAAAAGAATAAAAAGACAAAACAAGACATATACCACCAGAGCTTATGGCCACATCATGTTGAAACATTGGTTCTTGTACAATCACTGACGTTAAGCAACATTCTGACTAGTTATTCCTTAGATGGGTGACCGCTTGGGAATACCTGGTGCTGTAAACTTGTCTGTGTAGGTGGTGTAACTAATAATAACTTGGAATTGTTAATCAGAGAGCAGAGTTCATATTTCTATTGGGTTTGTTATATTCTCTTACACGAAATGCTAATCACAAAACTTGAATTTTTTTAAAATTTGAAATTTATACTATGCTAGAGTCTGTAAAGAATGTGACAAAATTTAAATATTCAGAAGTGTTATAATATGACGATATTAAAGTTAAAATGTTTGATTTTTTTTTTTTTTTTTTTTTTTAAATTTAAATGTCACGTTCTTAATGGATTTTATCATACTACACTATAGGCAAATAATTTGGTATCCCGTTTGTATTTCTTTAAAAACCACCTTAAAATTAAATATTTCTGTATTTTTTAAAGTAAAAGATAAAATTTCAGCAACTATGTATTTGTTTTTATTTTGACAAAATATAAGCACTTAAAAATTATCATACAACAGCATATTTTGTTTTCAGGAATAAACCACCACAAAGACAAATCCAAATCTGAATATTTTGATAGTAAGAGAAGCCTGAAGAAAGATTGAGAAATGAAAATGAATACACTGTAGCTACTGAAATTTTATCTTTTTATGTTAAAAAAAAAAAAAAAAAAGATCTCACTTTGAGTGTTGCTTATTATTTTTATTATTTTTTTTTTTTTTTTTTTTTTTTTTTTTAAATGCAGGGTAGCCCCCAAACCTTTTGCCTGGAGTGTACATGTTGGGATGGCATTGCTTTCTAAATCCATGTTCTGTTTCTTTTAATTTTTGACCTCTAACATCTTTATTGTTTTTGTTTTTATTTGTTTTTGCTTCTCTCACCTGTAGGCATCCGAAGAACCCATTAAAGAATATAAAGAGAAAGACAGCTCAGATCAAGCATCATCACCAAAGAAACGAAAAACTAAATCTGTAGATATTGACCTACCAGATGCCCCAATTGATGGTGAGTTGTTCACATAATCATTATCAATCAGACACATAGAGAAAATGAAACACACACACAATATATATATATATATATATATATTTGCCTGTCCTTATCTTAGGCTAAACTCATCCCTATATATATATATATATATATATATATATATATATATATATATATATATAAGGGATGAGTTTAGCATAAGATAGGGACAGGCAAAAATTGCCTTGGTGGACCCCTTAAATAAATGAGATTACCACAACAATGGCTAAGGGCACTGCAGAAATTTTTTTACAATTTGCAAAATTTGTTTTTTATTTGTAAAAATTACTATTAATGTGAAATCTTTAAAAAATTGATAAAAATAAATAAAACATTTTAAAATCAAGAATTTTTTTTTTTATTGATAAATAACAGATTATGTTGACTAGAATTATTAACAATGACATTGCAGTGGGACATTTTCAAAACAGGAATCAAATATTACATTAGCTTAGAATATTTTGTGGAAAGAATGAGATTGTTGTATTACTGTATAAAAATATGTAGCTTTTTCAGCATAAAATCAAAATAACTAATGAAACCTGTACAGTAAATGAATATTAATTAGTAATTTCTCAGATAAAATATTTTCATGACTAGTTTTTGTTGCTTAGCATTCAGAAGAACTTCCTCTACTCAGGCAATTTGTCAGAATCGAAAAACATGAATTTTTTTATTATTTTAGATGGGGGTGAAGATGTTCTGTTTACAATATAAATACATCAAACTGATCCCTGATTTTTTGACATGTTTTTTTTTCCTTTTTGAGGGGACCAGTCTATTTAATTATTGCTGTTTTAAAATGAAATGTATTATTACTGTAATGTGTGTGTAATGATGTTTATTTCATTTCCGGTGGACATAAATGTTGCAAGATTGAAATAAACTTGTAACATTTGTTGAAATTCCTTTCATCTACCTCCTTTCTTTGAAAATATACATGCATAGGGCTCTAGTCAAATTTTTTCTTGGAAAATCTTCATTGACCACCTTATTAAGAATGTAACATTTTTCCCTCTTAATTTAAAAAAAAAATGTTTCTTTGTGAAAATTGATGTGGCTTGTTTTTTAAGAGCACCTTGGCATTAGATACTGATACTGCACCATTTTGCCGTGGTGCTGCAGTCTAAACCATCTCTCTGCATGTGTGTGTGTATATATATGTATATAATAAAAATATAATTTTAAGATATGCTATATTTATGGTTAAAAGTGCTCAATATTAGAGATAGAGCATATGTGAATATAAAAGAGGACAGTGGTCAATACCAAGTAGGGACAGTTTGTTTCATGCTTCAATGCAATCTTCAGGCCATGGATTTTGGTTTTACAATTTATATATGTTCAGGATTAGTGCAAGTGCCTTGAACACCATCCCCTCGACACACTACTTCTTAATTTGCATATGGTAGTATTCATATAAAATATAAATTTTATTGTAACCTAATTATGTATCATTATGCAATATAGGCTTATAATTCTACTAAAAAAATTGAAGATAAATACACTTTATTTAAATACAAATTAGAGACATGTTATAATAGATCATCCCATCTTAAATAAATTAACATCAACTCAAAATTTTTCTTGTTAAAAAGTTAAGTAATTTTAACACATTCAACATTATGGATAAAAAATAGTTAATTTTATATTAGCATGAGCAAAACATTCACGGATTTGGACAAAAAGTTACCCAGAATGACGTCAAATTCCACAAATATTTTTCATCATTTAATAGTTGTGTTTAGCTCAAATTTGTAGTGTATATAAATGTAGGTAGAAAAAAATGTTAAGATACCAAGGATCACAAAGCATTGTCCAAGATCTCCCAGTTGGTTGTTGGGTTTGGGGGATAGTGCACACTGACCTAGTATATGTTAGTCAATGGGGCATTATGGGTAGCAAAGTCTATTATATTAGCTTAAGAGTTGTTGGTCAGGGAGTAACATTTATGTTTCAAATTATGCTGGAGGCTATTGAGTAAAATAACTCGATTTGAAAGCAGTTATTTATAGCTGTTGTATAGTGTTAACTTTTAACTTATTATTGATTACTTAGTATATTTTATATTTATTCATTATTTATTGTTGTTTATTATTACATGTGTTTATGTGTGTGTTCTTAATTTAAGCTGTTGATTTATTTTAATTTTTTATTTATTACTTTTTTTTTTTTTTTTTTTGGGGTTGGCTGTCTTATTTGTTTCTAAAATCTACTTCAACTCTATACTCCTAATGTCTGCAGCTGAATGTTGATTTTTAAGTCATTAATAAATAGAAGGCAAAAAAATTAAAGCGCATTGACTGGCATAAAAATGGAAAATTACTCATCTCTCTGGAATCAAATGTTAAAAATGCATGCATGCATATATATAATGTGTGTGTAATATATATATATATATATATATATATATATTATAAATTAATTGATTTAAAATATGGTTTTTCTGCTACACAGTTCTAACCATGTTTCAAAAATAGAAGCTAAAAGCCCTGAATTTAATTTTGCAATTAAATTAAAAGCATTAGTTCCATTTCATCCTCAAGTGAATTTTGGAGTAACTTTTAAAAATTACTGGGTTTTAAAGACACAGCTAAAATCACGTTTCCATGGTTACAGAATATTCTACTTCAATTGGACAAGGGATGTCTAGGTTTTCCTTATGTCAGTATCATTGTATCAGTTATTAGCTACAATTTGGTAAGGGGTAGGGATGTATTTTACAATGATACTGAAATAAATACTATAATGATACTATAAAGAAATAGAAAATTGTATGTAGTTTTAGCCAATGCGTTTCAATCAATGTGGATTTTTTCAAGGCAAAAAACAAAATAAATTTAGTGAAACAAAGTATCTATTAAAAAAAAGACTTTTTCTTTATAGATACTTTGTTTCAGTAAACTTTCTTGATGTTTGTCATTTTCAACAGAAAATTGTGGTCTCAGAAGGCATATTCTTTGCCAACCACCAAAGATCAGTGGCAAGCATAATAATAGCTTTTCTAAAACCAAATATGCAAATTCCCAACGAGTATAGTCAGTTAAATAAACTGAGTGATTGAATTTAATTGAAATCAATAAAATATACAAATGTGTGTTGCAGAATGAATAGGCTGGCCCAGAGTAGCAAACTGCTGTTCTGATCCAATACACCCCCACCACTCCCGGGAATTCTGCCCATATTTAAGTTTTAATATAAGAAACAAAAACATTTTCAGAGAGTCAGGCTGCTGCAAGAATTAGAAGAGTCAACATGCCTCCTGTAACAACATTCCTTAGTGAGGCAAACCAGCAGATGGCAATTAAATTCTAGCCAAAAAGATAACATGGATTCTCCATGTCATTTCCCTTACACTTCTTTCTAGAAATAATGCTACAACCACTGTCCCTCATGTTGTAAAGTAAGAGAAAAAAAAGAAAATTATCTCTTGATGGAGTCAATAATGTAGTGTTGGGGTCTGAAGAATTCAGGGTCTGAAACACAGAATGCAACATACAGTTATTGTCCAACCCTTGAGAAGAAAGAATAAATGAACTTGTCTTTTTCTCATAATCTGTCATTATCAACATCTTTAAGAATAGACAAAGTCTGGAAGATGAAAATGACAGACCATTCTTAACAATAACAAGTTTCCAAAGTAGAGATTTAATTGTGTAAATAATATTTGGTCTAGTCTGTTATTCTTAGGTATCTACCGTTGAGTATTGACTGCTGTTTTTTTTTTTCTTTCCTTTTTACCAGAGATCCACCCGTTTCTAAATGTGAAGAAACCTCAGGACAAATCTCAACAGAAAAAAGGTACACGACCAAAGCAGCGTCAAGGAAAGCCAGAGAAGAGTCGAGGCAAAGAGAAACATCAAACGAAACATGCAGACAAGTCAGATTCAGATCAGAAAGAAAACATAGGTAAGTCGGTACTTTATCATTGATATTACAATGTTGGATCAGAAGATGTGATTGGTGGGGAAATCAGGAACAGCATAAAATGACAAACCAATTGGTGGATTTGGGTGTAAAATAAGCATAATTTTATATTTTTTAAAATCTGCAAAATTCAATAATGATGGAAAATAAAAAAAATAATTAAAATTTTCTTTTAGATTTAATTTATTTTTTCTTAATGAAAATTACTATTAGTTTTTACTAATCTGGATTTAGTATGGCATAAGGACAGAAAAATCTGTGTTCTATGAGAATTTGTAATGGTCTTTATAGCTATATTGTTATCCATTACACCAGAGGTCTCAAACTGAAGAACATAAAAAGCTCATAACATGCTGAGGAAGAGGTGCAGTTGGCTAAATGCAAGCCCATTGCCAGGGTATTAACAATGGGGAGGGCATCAACTTCTCCATCATGGGACGTGTGGGCTCTCTTAGACATTCCCAACCAAGGTTCCACAGATTCAGAAAGCAAAGTTGGTAAACTTGGACCTTTTGTGCCTTCAAAATAATGGAGTACCAATAGGACAGTTTTTCCCTTGACACTGCTATTATTTTAAATACTTTCACTCCTCAGCAATATTTATTGTTTTAAAAAGTGATGATGAGAATTGTAATAAAATCTAAACATAAAAGTGAATTTATACATTTTTTTTTTTTTTTTTTACAATTGACAACAAAAATAATAAGCACCATTTATTTATTAGATTGTTTATTTACACTAGTAGATTGTTTTTTGGAATGGTTGGCAAAACATCGGCTAATTGGCAATTGATTTTATAAAATGGTAAATAATAATTTCCTTATAGTTCAGATATTTTAATAAATTTAGTAAATTATAAATAAAAAAAAATTATTTCTTTATAAATTGGTGAATTATAAACATTGTATTGCATTAGTTTCATAATGTAATAAATAAATAGTTTTTAATATTTTTGTTGTAAATTCCCAAAAATACAAAAAAAAAAAAAAAATGACTAAATTCAATTTCATAATCTGATTAGGTTTTATTACAATTCTAATTCTAACCTTTTAAGACAATAAACATAGCTGAGGAGTGAAGGTAGTTAAAATAATAGCAGTGTCATGGGGGAAACTGTCCTTTTGGTAAGAAAGTCCAAGTTTGCTGCTAAATTAAATCAGTTGGGTATTTTTGAATGATAGGCATTTTGAAAGTGAAAGAGGGGAGGAAGCGGGTAAGATTTTGTACATATTTCAGTCTTTTGTTTTTATTAAGTATCAAAATCTAGTTTGTTTTTGTCTCAATTTTTGATTGACTGTCTGTTGGCTCTTGGATAAGTTTAGTCAGATGCTGCTTCTACTAAATTATGGAAGAGGTGAGGAACAAATTTATTAAACTTATTAAATTTTGAGGAAAAATTTTGGTCACAAAAATGGTTCCCTGCAGGATAGTTCGTGGGATGCATGCAGACTGGGCTGTATGTTTAAGACCCCTGCATTACACCATGGGGCAGGCACCATATGAAAATGATTATCAATAACAAAGAATCATTTGGCTTATTTCATATTTGAAGACCAACTTTTTGTTTATCTTTTGACAGCATAAATATCTCTATTTTTCTGAAGGAATTATCAGGAACAATGTAGATATTTAAAATTTTTGAAAATTATAAAGAATTTTAAGCAGAACATTTGGAAATGAACCGACTCCCAAGAGGATGCTTCCCTGATCACTACAGTCTTAACTTGTTCAAGTTATGGTTAACTGTTATTTTCTACACATCTGCATAAACTGTGCCTTTTACTCTGTAATTGTCTATGGTGAGTGGCTCTCGAGCCTTGTACAAGGTCAACATCATTGTAAAAAAAAATACTCATTTTTTACTGAAATATTTTAATCTTTAAAGATGGTAGCCATAAAATAGATATCTTAGCGATTGACTTTGTATTACCTGTTCATTTGAAAAATGAAACCATTTTGAATATTTTTTCTTGTCTTAGAAATTTAAAATTCACTTGTGTCAAAGTCACTTACTCTGACCGGAGTTGTGGCATTTTACATATTGTCACCTATTCAAGGAGTCGATCAGACTGTTGGTCACATTTTGGCTCAGATATACAATCCATGTTGACATGCCTCCTATTTATTTCCAAGGAAACTACAACAGAGATAGGGACCACAATAACACCATTGGATAGAGCAAGTTTTTAGCTACAAAGCATTATTTTACTTCATAGTCACTACTGATGACTTTGCCATTTTGTGGTCTGCTTCATTTCGTTGACCACCCAGAACCCAACTTGTCACACACATCACTGTTCTAACTACTGAAACACATTATCCACCACTTAATTGTGTTCACATACTTTGTTTGGTCTCTGTAAATGTTCAACTAAGTTGATGAACATCATTCAGTAAAATTTTTCAACAGGAAGGAATTCAGTGATACACCTCTGCTTCATACACATTTTCATGTCAGAATATATTTTACCAGACTGTTATCTGTAACAAGGCAAAAAGAATTACAGGTTGCTAGCCCACTAACATCCACTTCCGACATTGTGGTCCAGCATAATAAAATAGAAAGTGTTACTTTCAGAGTGACCGCTCATGTCTGTGTGTGTTTCAAATTTGCTATATTTATGGGGGAAGAGTGCCCGATCTCATAGATAGAGCATATCTAGAGATAAAATGTGTAAATATAGAAATCAGCATTGCATGCCTTAAGTGATTATCAGATATGTACATTCATCCACATTACCTTTGTATTCCATTGGTAAGGGGGGAAATTCCACTCGGACAGCTTCTTCCCTAGAACTGTTATTATGTAGGACAGAATCCTGGAAGATGATTCCTGGATCACTCAGTCTGTTAGTTAAGTCTCATACATAATAAACACTTGGGCCATCATGTCTCTTTCGATCCATGACTGACTAGGCAGAAGATTTTTCTACAGCAGGTTGCTGTTTCTTTCTGTGGTAGACCGGCTGCTAACCAAGGCTATAGGATCCAATGTGCCCTGCTATTCAACCCATAACTGGGGAGAGAAGACATGAAATTCAAACTTGGCTCTCCAATTTCCCATTCCTAGCCGTTGTCCATCACATAACGCACTACAGTCTTTAAATTTTCAAGTCTATGGTCAACTAATATCATGCCTACATATCCTCATAATATGCACTTTTTTAATGCTCTTATAACAACCTCATTCAGTGACTCTCTACCTTGAGTGGCTCTTGAGATTAGTATTGGGTGAACAAAAGTCTGGAGCAACATAAACTACCTTATTCTTTAATAATATAGTAAGCTCTATCTTTCAACATTGACCACTTGAGTTGTTTACTTTATTAACATGCTTTTTGTTTATTGCTAATAAATAAATCTATATAAAAATGTGAATGTCAGTGTGTCACTGTCACACTTTTTCAGCTTTACTCCTAGAGGCCGTAGCCCAACATATCATACCATTTTGGAATCAGGTTGATTCTGTGAGCAAATTAAAAACTTTCTAGAATGGATCTGCACGCATAATCCTGAAATTTTGGATTCCCAATTATTTTTTGGCATTTTCTTTTTTTTCACATGATTTTTTGCAATGAATTTTTTTGTACAATAACAATTTTTATAACTTTGGGAATAATTGAAATTCCAGCAAAAGTCACCTATGAAATAAAAATAATTGTTTGCATGGAAGGTAAAGACCTACATACATCAAATTGTCTTTAAATTAAGTGGCAGCAGAAGAGTTATTGTTGAACTTTTAAAAGGTAGGCTTAAATATAAATGCAACACTTAAATGCAGCGATCAATTTTGAGTTCTCTAGTTTGTTACCTATCACATCTACTCCTCCTTACCTATTGTGATGAAGACCCAATAAAGAGCCCTGCACAGGAGCTAGCTTTAAATGTTACCCCCTGATAGTGGCTTTTAAGCTAATATATATATAAAATGTAGATCTACTAAGTCGATATACCAAGTAACCATTTACCCCAAAGAAAATATATTAAATCATAATGTTTACATTGGAATTTACACGGAGAATGGAAACAAAGATTTTACAACCATAGGCACATTTTTACGAACCCAAAATTAAAATATCAGACAGCTCTTTTCAAAAAATTTTGGGAATTGAAGGAGAAAGGTCTGAATCCTCAGATAGGCTTGAAAATTATAGGTTTCATTTATGTTCCTTATAGTTTTAGAAATAGGTGTGACCTGTTTAGAAAAGAAAATTACAATAATCAAAGTAAACTATTAAATCAAAGGAATGGATTACACTATTTACATTATTCAGACTATTGTCCTCATTTTTGTTGCCGTATTTATCACAGCATTTTGGCTGTTGTACGCTCTGGCCTTATTCAGGTGATTGAAATCTCAAACTGAACCCTTTGGGGTCGACTGTTCTAGTTCCACGTGCTATGTCTAATGGATGTCAGTTATCAGTTATCTTGTGTTAATTCACCTCTACAAGTTCTCCACTGCCTTAACCAGGTGCTGAAATCACAACTCTTTGGGTCCTGTCACTGGATCTAACCAACACATTTATCCACTGTGTGATGTGTCCTTAAGGACATCTGTATGAATTTCTGGGACTTATAAACTTAATGTCTTCAGCAACCATTTTTACCAGTGCTCATATTGCAATTTTTCCTGTTATTATTATTTTTTTTTTTACCAGAGCTCATATTGCAATTTTGGTTGTTAATATTGCTTTTCTCTGGCACTCCTTATTACTGGTTCCTATATTGTATTCATTTCTATGCTTGGTTGGCTCATGAAATTTTTGTGGGCTGGCATATGTGCTGATTCTTTAAGTTTATGAATTTTCCAATGATGTTCTTTGTCTATGATTTCAACCTGATCTCACAGAGGGCAGTGATCTTCTTTTTCTCTCGATATGTTGTCAGCCACTTCTGATTTTTTCCACTTCCCCTTGTGTTAGTTTTTTGGTGTTCTTGAAGCCTTATTATAAGAGGGCGGCCTGTCTCCCCTTTATATT